ACGAGACTGACTTAAATGGGACAGTGAAAAACAACAAGGAAATAAGGGGAATGCGATATTGTGAGAAGCCATATATTTAGGCTTTGAGTAACAAAAATTCTATATTTTGGACATTCTAGTGAGGTGGTCATATTTGAAAACTGGGGCTGCAATCTAATCAAACAGGAATATTTGCTTTGGAAAGAAGTATAGATAATGATGCAATTTTTCATGTAAATAGAAATTAAAAAAGAAAAATCCCCAGTCTTGATCAAGTCATGGTCTTTGCTTCATACTAATGAGATATTTTAATCATATTTATGTAAATACCAATTCCCGAGATGTAAAAAATTTAAAATACAATATTCATTCTCTTTCCCTCTCTCCAAGTATGGACCTCAAAAATAAAAAGTAATATTAAAACCCCACAATCTTCTATAATAATTTGTACACATGAAGATTGTATTAAAATACTCTATTCAATATTTATGTAGGCTGAGATTTTGAAAAATACTCAAGTCTCATTGGCTGTCAGCCTGAATGAAAGCCAATGGAAGTTGTGCTCCTAAATCATCTGGACAATTGTCAAAATCCCATCCTGAATCAATATCCAGTTCAAAGCATGGCATCATCTAACCCCTTACGGGATGCTGAGAAATATAAAGTGGTATCTTAAGAAAAAAAACTACCAACATAACCATAACCAACCCATAACTCTCACTCACATGAGTAGTTCTCAAGTATAAGGATCACTTCAATGAGATGAGATTTGTATGACAGGGCTCTGATATCATATCTTTTTTTCAGACAGTTTTGCAGATATTGGATCTAGTTCCAGGTCAGTTTTGCTCATGAGGGCCATAGTGACACTACCTAATTGCAGTTACTACGTTCAGTATAATAGGATTACCTTAATAACCATTCAACGCAGGACATGCAGTAGCTGTGACCACATGGCACCTGTGCTGGATTCTCCAGAAACATTTTGCATAGAGGACAAATATATTTAGAGGAAACATCAGCCATATACTTCTCCAGAGCCTCTCCAGAAGCAGGTGAGCTACTCATAGCCGATGTATCAATTCCTGATGCGAAATCCTCCAAATGCTGGGGCTCTACAGTGTGTTCTGCCATGAAGATGGTCTAAAGGCTTCAGTCTAAAGCTGTTCCCATTATTCGTATACAAACTTCCATCTAAAAACTTCAGACTCGTACGTAATAATTCTGAGAATGCAGAAAAGAATACATGAAAGTGTGTTTTGGGGGTGTTTTTCCCCCTCTGAATTCCTTATTGTAATGATGAACTGCAGTCAGTCAATCAATCAATCTAAAGTATAAGCACTCAGAGAGGAGAAAATATTTCTGGATTACAGTGGGAGCCTGATTATCTAAACTAATTTGATAATGGGCCATTTAAGTATAAGATATATTTGGAAAAATCAATAATATACTGTGGAATTTTACCATGGATAAGGCTGCTGTACTATTTTGACCAAAACTGAGGTGTGAAACACTTTTCACTCCTCAGGGCTTGTCTACACTACCGTGCAGGGTCGATCTAAGATACGCAACTTCAGCTATGTGAATAGCGTAGCTGAAGTCAACGTACTTATATCTACTTACCGCGGTGTCTTCACTGCAGTAAGTTGACAGTTGACATTCTCCCAATGACTCCGCTTACGCTTCTCATTCTGATGGAGTACCAGAGTCGACGGTAGAGCACTCAGTGGTCGATTTATCGCTTCTCTACTGGACCCAATAAATTGACCCCTGTTGGATCGATCGCTGCCCGCCGATCAGGCGGGTAGTGTAGACAAGCCCTACGTCATGCTAAAGAATAAAGAAGAGACATAGTTGGGTAAGAACAAGGCTTAAAAAAATGTTTTCCTTGTGAAAGGGGCAGCATCATGTTGATTTAGGACCCAAATTTCACTTTTATAAAGATAAGATTTCACAAAATCTAAAAATCAATAGAAATATTTCCCTTTTTTTTTAAATTTCAACCAATGAAAAATGTGCATTATTTTAATGCATGACCATTCAGAAAGTGAAACGGATTTGTCTGGTCTATTCTATGGGCGGAACAGCATGCTACAAATAAACAAATCAACAGGAATGAAGAAAAAGTAAATGCTTTCATTTTTTCATTCTTAATCATCTAAATTATTTCATAATACAGGTCATGATTTTACAATTTTTATTTGCAATCCAACAGTGCCCTTTTATTAATATTTTTTAAAATGAAGGGATACAGCTCTGAGGTTTAATGGATAGAGTACAAGGGTGGAAATCAGAAGGGGATTGTGTTCCCAGTTCTACCACACACTTATTCCTTGACCTTTTGTAAATTACTTCATCTCCTCAAGTCAGATTTTTAAAAAAGTGTTTAAGTGCCTAAAGATGCAGATAGGAGTCTAGACACTTATCTCCCATTGATTTTAATGGGAATTAAGCATCTGGACACTTTTTAAAATCCCATTAGGCATCTGCATTTTTAGGCACCTGAATGCCTTTCAGAATCTGACCCCTAGTGCTCAGTTTCCTCAGGTGTTAAATGGGATTGATAATGCTCACCTACCTTTGCAAAGTGCTTTGACACCTATGGATGAGAAGTCTTCTATAAGGATTATTATTAGTGGTATTCATTTTATAAAGAAAAGACATTTTCACCAGTAGAGAAGCCAGAAACTCCAGAATGAACATTGTCTAAGTGGTGACAGCACTTCTAAACAACAAACACCACAGTTACAGAAAGAGCTACGCTCAGCATTTACACATTGGCATCTCACCCTATAAACTTGCTGACTGTAGAGACTAGAGCCTCAGACAAGCCTTTAAGGGTATGTCTACGCAGCACGTAAACACCCATGGCTGGCCCGTCAGCTGACTCTGGCTCGTGGGGGTCAGGCTGCGGGGCTGTAAAATTGCAGTGTAGATGTCGGGGCTTGGGCTGGAGCCCAGGCTCTGGGACCCTCCCCCCTCACGAGCCCGAATGTCAAGCACAATTTTACAGTCCTGCAGCCTGAGCCTGTCAGCTGACACGGGGCAGCTGCAGATGTTTAATTGAAGAGTAGACATACCCTACGTCTGGCTCAGGATTCTTCTTCAATATAACTCCTCCAGTGATAGCCTTGGAGGGCATGAGCCCCTCGGGCAGAATAGCAAAAAGCAAAACTAAAGACTCATAAGGTGGCTCCTTCAGTTTTAGCAGCGGGCTGCACTTCCACTGCTCTGGATTTTGTTTGACTGTTTCTCAGTTCCTATATCTATCTCAGACAGTTGATATCATTTCAGGTGTCATTTTCCTTGCCAGCTACTTTTCTAGGTTCACACACTCCCTTTTGTAAGAATGTTACACCATTCATTCTTATTTTCTAAATATAAAGGCTTCATGTGTTTTTTGAGAATATGATCCTTATTACCCCATCCAGCTATAAATATTAAGGGCCAAATCCTCAACTGGTATAAATCAATATAGCTCAATTCAAGTCAATAAGGTATTATCCAAAGCTCTAGGCACTGTTGTACCACCGATCAAGACCTCTGTGGGTTTTCGGTCAATTTTTTTTACTGCAAGACCAGCAATTTTGACAAATTCACATTGCTGTTATTGGCAGGATGTACATAGCAGTAAAAGGCTTTTGAAGTGAGCTGACTTTGTATAAAATTAAAACCACAGAACAACCTAATTTGCTGAAATATCATTAAGTGTCTGTGCTAAACCCACAAAAGCCAGGAAACTCTAAGATGAAAGAGGAAAACTACTGATAGACCATGCTTTAAATCACGCATCATGCCCAGCTCAAGCAATACTTACAACCAGGAATATTACCCAGTGCTCAAGACTTCTGCAACACCTGCTCATAAAAGGATTAAGTAAAGACATCTGGGACTTTTTCAGCCTTAATTTTAAATTTCCCGGGTTTTGTGGTTTTAAGTTGCAATTGGGTAAACTGTTTCAGCACAAGGGAGCCGAATCAGGGAGTGATGGGCAGGTGCACCAATGAGGAGTTCCAAGGCACCGAGCCTCAGTGAGGAGCATAGTAGTTATGCCATCGTTGGACAGGGTGCAGTTTCCCGATTGATTGGCAGCAGCACTTACACTCGAGACTACGACAGCCATTAGAAAGCTCTTTGCACCCTATATAGGGCTTGGCCACTCTCTTGCCCATTACTTTAACATACAATTATAGTTCCTTTGGATAGTGTTAAAAAAATTCACTGCCAAGTAATTTAGATCTAAAATCTGACCCATCCACCACGGGATATCCTGCCTTGAGGAATAACACCTACATTCTATACAGCTTTTCATCAGTAGATCACAGAGTTTTACAAAGGAAGTCAGTATCATTATCCCCATTTTACAAAGGGAGACACTGAGGTTCAGAGAGGTGAAATAACATGTCCAAGGTGACCCAGCAAGTCAGTGGCAAAGCCAAGAATAGAATCCAGGTCACCTAAGTCCCAGTCCAGTGCTGTATCCACTAGGCCAATGATACTCAGACCACAGAGGTTCAGGAGCCAAATTAGCAATCATCATTACCCAAAAGAGCCAGAGTAGTGAGAATTCATTGTTTCATTTACTATTTTATATATGTTTTCTTGGTTATTCTAAGTATTATTATTTTATCAACTACAATTAGTTAATAACATAGTAAAAGCATCCTGATTTAATTATTAACCAATCACACAGCGTTTTAATATCATGTGTTGCAAAGAGCCACAGGAGACACATTGAAGAGCCACTTGTGGCTCCTGGGGCCACAGTCTGAAGTATCACTGCACTTAGCCATTAAATAACATGGAGGTCTTGCAGTAAAAAAAAAAAAAAAAAAGATCCCCCATGCAGGAAAGGTGAAATTTGAAGGATCTAGCACTGTACCATTGAAACAAACAAAAAACCCACCACCTTTGCAGTCTGGCAGGCAATGATCCCAGGAGTCTCAATATTCGTATGTTTTAAAAAATCCTTCTGTTTTGAGGAATATTTTTTCTCAAAGTATTAACTGCTATTTTTACAGGACCGGCACAAAATAATGTCCTTCTGCTCCCTCTGCTGTTTCTGCTACTGCAACATGCAAAGAAGCCGTAATTCAGAAGCTGTACACATTCTTTTGGACACTGCCACAGACACTGGTGAATAAACAAAAAAATTGCATCATGTTTCTTCAGTAGAACAGAGGAACTCAGGAGAAATCAATATTTTTCAAAAGTAAAAAGAGAAAAATGTTTTTTTTAAAAAAAAGCCAACCACACATAGCTGAGAAAAAAGCAATTGGCTGCGTCTCTCCAAAGAGTGACCCAGGTATACAGGATCTGCAACATTTCTACAATCAAGGATCCACCCTCAGGAGTACACTGATTCATTCTTTTCTCTGTTCAAGTACATCAGTAAAATTTAATTCAGCAGGAGTTCTAAATTTTGTTATTGTTATTTAATCAATGCTGTTATCGTGCTAGGAAATATATAAACACAATTGTTGAAAAAATGTCCAGTAAGGATTAATAATACCTAACACAAAATCTGCTCTGTTTAAATACAAGCTGTAGGTAATGTTTTTCCTAATTTTTAAATACAGATTGTTCCCCTGACTCTCCCCACAAATTGAAAATATAATCAGCACCATCAGAAGAAATATGATATGCAAGAAGAAAAGAATAATGTAAGAAGTGGTTGAAAGATCTATATATAATAAATAATAATGTTTAAGGACAACTTACCAAACGGGTTAAGAACTTAAAATTCTAAGCCTATCACCAGCAAGAGGAAACACTAAGTTCAATTTCTCGCTAAGTGGGATTCCCCTACATCACATGTTTGTTTTTTCATTACAAGCAGCATGCCTACTTTTTTGCCTTTGTTTTGCACTGCTTTCTTTTAATCCTTGTACTAGGCACAATACCAAACCATGAAGAGACCTTTCTTGTCCCAAGCATTCTTCTTTGAGTGCATATCAACTATAAAATCTGATACGGGATTATGGTTAATAACCTAAACAGTATTTTAATGCTCAGAATAAAAAAAGCCACATTTTATTGAGAAGGCTACTCAGAAATATAATGGGCAACTCCGATTTTTTGAAAGTACTATTTTTCTCTATATTAGTTTGCTGTTATTTTAAATGTAACACCTATAAACATGGAGACAGGTTTCAGAGTGATAGCCCTGTTAGTCTGTATCAGCAAAAACAATCATGCATCCGATGAACAATCATGCATCTGATGTAGTGTGTTCTAGCCCACGAAAGCTTATGCCCAAATAAATTTGTTAGTCTCTAATGTGCCACAAGGACTCCTTGTTGTTTTTACCTATAAACATGAGCACATTGATTTTCTTACTCAGTATTTCAGAGCCTGATTTGGGTTTGTGCATATATAGGGATAACTGAATATCTGAAGATATCCATGATCAATACTCATCTGTTTAAAGTAAGCAAGAAAACCAGGTTGCAGACTGCCTACTTTCTTTTTATACACAGAACAGGCTTGACAAAATATTCAAAGGTTAATTGATTTAGCCCCTTGAGAGCTTTTTATACTGTTAGTATTAGAGTGGAAAAGTAAAATGAGAGTTAATAATGTGTGAGGCTGTTTTAATCAAAAATAGCTCTCATCTTGTAGCACACCCACAGCATGAACAAAAACATATTAGAAAAAAGCCGCATGACACATCACACATGCTGCAGGTGTTTCTGTCATGTCCAAATCCTACTGGCTGCTGCTGTTTTAAAAAATGTGTTATGCTTCTTGGACGGGTCTGTGAATTCTTCAGTGACCTGTACAATGCTGAACACGCTGTCAACACTTTCCAGATAAGAAATAATAACTAGCTGTGCAGATTCAAAAAGCGTCTAACAAAACATGACACACAAATCTGCTTGCTAACAATGACATTTTACAGAGCCCCCGTCATTTGCAAAGATCCTAAAGTGCTTTACAAACTACAGTATAGTCACTACACATCTTCAGTGGCATGAGGTGGCCACTGCTGAACCTAATCAGCAAGCATTCATCGACAACGTGTGTCACTGTCTGTGTCATGCCGCAGCTGCACAAAGGGCAGTCACGAAGGCCCCAGTGATACTGGTTGGCTGCACAGAGACCTTTCCCGATTCAGAACATGTTCAACAGGGACCATTGGCGACGGTACAGGTCAAAACCAGGTGGACAAATTGTGGGGTCGGCGACAAGGGACTGGTTGGGGATTATAACAGATATCCATTCCTCTCACCAGAGTGTTTCCGCCCTAACATCCTGGCGTGGCGGATGAGACCATAATTGGTGAAGTGACGGCAAACATGCAGCTGGTGGTTTAAAAAGGTCATTGTGCAGCGGCAGGCTCGGGTTGGCGCGTACTTTCTCCAGTAACTCGTCTGATATGAGGAGGAGCGATATTGCTCAGAACTGGGAGCCATGGGAGTGGCGTCAGACGCAGGGTGCCAGAGATGATGTGCATGGTGGCATGTAACTACATATCCACCAGTTTGGTGTGTGACAATCGACTCCAAACTGGTGCACAGTACTCCGCCACCGAATACGAGGTGGCAAGAGCTGACATCCGCAAAGTTGGAGCACAAGTACCCCATGACGAACCTGCCAATTTGCTAGGAAAGTTGTTATGTGTCTTAACGTCAGCTGCTGTCTTCTTCAGGTGGGCATGATAACTCAGTGTGAGGTCTAAGTTCAGACTGGTTCTACTTCACGCCTCACCTTCTGACCATTCAGATAAACATTCAGTTCTTGGGTTGCACTGGTGTGGTGAAGATGGAACAAACTGGAGACTGTTTTTATGACGCTTGGCTGGAGGTGCCAAGTCTTACAGAAGTCAGCTAACTTTATCATGTCCCGGTTTAAGGTGGCACCAAGCTCGTGAAACGTCCATGCCTGGGTACCGCAACAGATGTCGTCTGCGTAAGTGAACTCTCATGACTGTTGCTGGCAGGTCATTGACGTAAAGGTTGAACTGGTTTGGAGAAAGCAGAGAGCCCTGGGTTAATCCATTGCTCTGTTGTCTCCAAGCACTTGTCTTCTACCCCATATGGACTCTGAACTGCCTATCGCGGAGGAACAGTTCAACAACACCTGTGACCCAAGGTAATAGGACCCGTGATACCTTCACGAGCAGGCCAGTGTGCCATACCATATCGTACACTGCTGTTAGATCAATGAAAACAGTGCCCGTTTTCAAGTTTCTCTGGAAGCCATTTTCAATAAATGTGGTCAGCGCGAGTACTTGGTCGCATGTGCTACGGCCTCGGTGAAAGCTGGCTTGGTCAGGGCGCAGAATTCTCTCCATGTATGGGTAATATGTGCTGTAGGACCAAGCGCTCCAGTGCCTTGAAGCACACTGACAATAATGATATGGGACAATAGCATGATGCTTGACTTGGCTTGACTTCACAACTGAAATGCAGCCAGTCACCTTTCAGGTGCATTGTTGCAGTTGGATGAACTATTGGTACACGCACACCATACAGCACAACAGTGGTGTGGGGAACATTTTGACCAAGGACAGCATGTTAACTATTACTCCTACAAAAGGTGTAAACAGAATACTGAATGTTCACGTCGACCATTTGTATGAAAGATTTTCAAACAGTAAATGGCATGGAATTCAGTTTATATTCCTCAAAAGGATAAAGAGTTAAGTTATTCCTTCCCAGATTTGTACCTAAAGCTCTAGAGAGCCTGCACTTCATATTTCAAATATAATGCTTATTCCACTAACAGTAAATATTTCAGTTGAATATTGTCTTCTTCACTTCCTGTTATATGTTTTGCAGTGCACTGTTAAAAAAACAGCTGTATTCCATGCAAGAGATATCTGCAATTCAGTGTTTGGTGAAATGATTCCTATATATACACACGCAGATATTGTGCAAAAGCATTTTATGAGCCTTCAGGCTAACAGACATGATATAATTTATTAAATTAACAAATCCTGATAAGGATTGTTTACTTGAAAAATAAAGCCCAATATCAAATACTGTTACATACAATTAAAACATGACAGTCTCTCTCAAATTAAAAGGCCATTATGCCACTTAGTTTTCTGATATGTAAACACATTTTTTGTTATTTACAAATTTTGATGCTTCTATATAAACTCATGTTCCTCAAGCATTAATTTTCACAACTTTCTGGTTCGTGATTTCAAAATTTTCCAGTTACTCCCTATCTGACCATCTGGAAAACCTTAACTGTTACTAACCATTCAGCAGAGAATGTGCCACTCATTTGCTGAGCTAGGTCCTAGATACTGCGAGTGAGATTCTCTGTTCCAACTAAGAGGTGCAGTACAGAATTTACAGGACGGGGGAGGGGTAATTAAGGTGGTTGCATCCTGATTCTGGGCTGCTCAGAGGGCTTGGGCAGTCTGCAGCATATTTTGAACAGCCTTATGACATGTCTTCCACTGTTCCTACACCAGGAGAATCTTCCCTGGCAGGATCCAGGGCTTTTAGAGCCCCTTTACACTTCCCCTAGCATACTGAGGCTGATGCAGGGGTGAGGAACTTACCCTAGGTACTTAGATAGTATGGTGTGGGACCTGCTATAAAACCTCAGCAGACAGAGAGGTTAGATAGAAATATGTTTAATTTAAAACGTAAACCCATTTTAAATAATTTTATCCCATAAAAAGAGATTGTGTGAGATGTAGCACTGTATATTTTAGTATCAATTTGTATGACAGAATATAAATGAAGAAAAATACAGTTATAAGAACAGTACCTGATAAACAAAAATACAAGGAAAATAAAATTGAGGAAGGATATGTTTTAATAAGATATTGCATTTCAGTGGGTCCAACTGTTTTGGCACAAGGCAATATTTCTCTATTTCTTTTTTTAAAAATGGTGTTCCATTTAATTTCATCTGACTTTAAAATGTCCTTGCAGTATTTCTGGAAAACTTTCCCTGTCCCACCCTAGCGTCAATGCAAAAAGTTACAATTCTAAAATAATTATCTTATAAAAACAGATGCTGTTAAATATAAGTAAATGAAACATTCCAAGTCAACCTACCTAAGAATGTTAAAGTTTGGAAAGAATTACTAAGCAGCTAAGAATACATTTTTTTAGTGAGACAATATGCAATTTTTACTCAGCAGAATTCTCCCAAGGAAGTTAACAGCCATTGAGAAAGAGCTCTTCAGAAAATTCTTCCATTGTATCTACAAACTTTTTACAAGATGCACAAGCTGTATTTGAAGGCCACCACTCAATCCAAGTCACAGAGTCTAATGGATACTGGTATCTACACAGACAAAAGAGAAAGCTCATTAGTACATAAGCAGTGAAAAAAAGATAAAAACAAGAGAAAATTCTAATATTAAATGGATTCCTTTGTGCTTATTTTCCTCTGTTTTAAATGTGGACAGCTGAAGAAGTGTATTAGCATAAAAACAATGGGTAACACAAAATGGATTAAACAAGTCCTCAAAATATTGAATCAATTACAATAAATGACATGACCAAAGGTGTACAAGCACTTTGCCACTTTTGATGAGAATGAAGCATGTCATGCTCTGGAGAGAGCTCAGCACATTCTGTTAATAATTTACTTACTTGAAACTGAAACCAACTGTTATCTGAAAGGCCTCTTTTCCCATGATCAAATACTGATTTCCTGGATTCAGTTTAACATCAGTACAAGTCTTCTTTTTAACAAAGGTGATTTCAGTGTTTTTTTGGGCAAAAGCCTCTCCTGGAGTTGAAGGGAATGCAGTTATTACATTGGAAAATTTCACAGAAAAAATTATTAAAAAAACAGCTGGCTTCAATTTTTTCAGGGCCACACATGTTAATTAGGCATAACATACTGATTTGGTTTTACTATTTATCACAAGAGGGCAAAGCCAAGCCATCCATTAGCCACTAACTATGTAACAGGGAAATTCAGATAAATCAAAACATGAATTTTCAGCCCTTTGGAATCAGTCTAGAAACATTAAACAGGTGGCAATCTGACTTCCAAAAGCAGCCTTGTACAAACCAAATGTGTTTACCAAGATAACTGCAGATGCAAATGGTAAAGCATGAGAAGACATGCAACTCCCACTGAATTGCTCAGCTAAATCTATGCCAACTTTGCTGCATCCAAATTCTACTTTATAAAAGCAAATATTATTGTTTCCTTTCCTTGAACCATTGTCTGCTTGTTCTGCCTGCCTAGATTGTGAGATCCTCAGCACAGGTGCCCGCATAAACAGCAGCAATAATAACAGTTTTAATAAAAGCGTAAATACAGTGAAACTGGTGAAAGACACTAGCTTACAAATATCAACCCAAGAATCTTCAGATTCATAGAGTACAATTATTCTCTACCTTTATTAGGAGACCACTTAGCACTGATTTTTGTCTGCTGCTTGAGTGGTCACTGAAGGGAGTTTTCATTGTAAACAAAATAATTAAATACATTACAGTTAGAACTCTCACCTGTTTTATAGAGATCCAGAAGAGCTGCAGTATACTTAATAAAACTACCTTCTTCACTGGAGGACAAGATGTTTACCTTATAGACTATAAAGAAAAAACAACAGTTGCTACTGTTTCAGGCAGAATTCTTCCTTTTGCTTTGCACGACATCCATACTACAGATGGATATTAGGGCCATCTGTAAAATGTATTGTTTGTCAAACTGAAACTCTTATAAAGCTAATCAAATCTCATGTTTCAGCATATCAACTGATTGTCCATGGATGGATGCACACCTAACGTACAGCATTTCACAATGAAGTGCAAGGTTTTTCCCGGTTGTCCTCTGAAGCATCTGGCACTAGCTACTGCCAGAGATAGGCTAATGGACTTAATAAACCAGAAAGGTAGTTTCAATGTTCCTAGATATTTTCCAGAAATCAACACAAATACACATATAATGCACCCTAATTCATTAATTAGGAGGGTTTCATTTATTTTTTGTATTACAATGTACTGCTATTACTTTACAAGGACACTGCATGTTTTGCACTAAAGAATGCCAAGCACTTCAAACACACACACACACACTTTTTTAGTCACAATTAAGATTTTTTATGCTGCAATTCTTTAGACTATTCACGTCACAGTATTATTCATCCAATGTCATTGCTCTAAAACTGGACTTGATTGTAAGTCTCCATTGCATCTAAATTCATTCATACCTCGGCTACTCAAAACTATGTCTGAATTTTTAACCAATCATTAACAAACAAGCATTACAACAGTGTTTTTATTAGGCTAATAGTTGAAGTAATTTAAAATTTCTGTAGACATATAGACCCAAAGGACCTGATGTAATAATTTACGCATATTCAAATCCAACGACAAAGGATTAGCGTTGGGGAAAAAAACTGATTGTTTTTGCCAGTAACAGAGAATACGTGATTTAACATCTCACTAACACTTGCACAGAACTGTGCTAGCTTCAAGCATATTTATTTTAACATCAACCTAGCACGGATTTCCATAACTGAAGTGGCCAGGATTTTTAAATCTGAGAACTGTCTTATAGAACCATGCTATAGTCTAGCAAGAGCGTAAATGACAGGATGGTGTGGTTAGCATATTATCAGAAAAAATACCAATTTCACACAGGTCAGAAGCCATGCTAGAATGCCTCTAGCCTAAAACATGGTTAAAGTCAAAATCCTTAAAATGGTTCTGATCCCAACACTGACAAGTCTTTAAAAAACAAAATATGTTTAAATAATTCTGTGGGACATGTTCCCTCTTTTTGCATTTTGGGGATAACATTTAAAAAGCAAACAACAAAAAAACAAAGTCTATGTGAGAAGAATGTTAGGGATTACATTATCTGCTTTTAACCAACAAATTACAGGAAACTCAATTATATCTGATGCTTTGTTCACAACTTGCCTTACATGTGCCTAAGTATTAGAACACATTATACAGCACATCAAATAATCACTGTTCAGAGACCCTTACAAAACCCAGAGAAACACAGTGTATGTGTGTGGGCGAGTACATTGTCCTCTGGGATTGGTGTAAAACTGTGCTTCTATTTTTGATTACCATTTTTAATCGGGGAAAGGTTTCTTGCACCCTTTCCTGCTTAGTTTGGCAGGCAAAATGAGAAATCTGTGTGTTGTATAGTTTCAGTTCTAGTGCGATGCTGCTTTTTCACAGGAATGAAACAAGACTATCACAGCCTGTAACAAACCCTCAGCGCTGCAGACATATCTGAAATGGGGTAATTTACTTTGCAAAAGTTAGCTGAAAATAACCAAGGGCTTTGATTTTTAATTCTGAAAAAAATGTGTTTGATTTTAAAGAATACTCAGTGAAAGATATATATTGAGGTCTGTCTTTACTCCAGTAGACCTACAGTCACAGTCTATGATAAAGTACTGGAACCAATCCTGAGAGGTATTCAGCAGCCTCAATTCCTATTGACTTGAGCAGGAGTTGAGAGCCCTCAGATCTTCTTAAGAGACAGGCAGCTCTTCAAAGATTGGGACCATTAACTCTATGTAATTTCCACAGACATTGCCTTTGTCTAGGTTGAATTATTTTAATTTACAGGCACTAACAGGGGTATGTTCATCTCTATGAGTACATGTTGTTGTTAACAAGAGTCACATGCCTCCAATGTTCTTATAGGTATATTGAAAAATGCTGCATCTCTCAAAGCAACATATATAAAAATAAAAAAGGTGCACCCTGTAGCATCACATCATCACTCATCACACAGTGTTCATTTGTTTTTCAAAGTAATATGTACTGATCATTCATATCTTACCATATGCAATGACTTGCTGGCATGCAGCTTCTCTCCTCCTATCAGCAGTTATTGTCAGATCTAATTTCTTTTGCATTTGACTGCATTCCGCTATGTTTAGTGAAAGAGATATGACGTTAATGCTAGGAAGCAACATCAGCACAAGCCCTCTTTTAAAGTATAATTAATTTCTATTTGCTCATGGCAATCTGTAACACAGAAGCAACAGAGCTAAGCTACTCAATTCCCATTTAGTCGACAAAATGAAAGTCAATAAGAGTTGTGCAGCTAAATTCTATACATCTCTTTTTAGAGTTTAGAATATAATGAATGTTTAATTTATTGCAAAGGCAACATCTGCTGTTCTGAAATAGAATATATAGCTCCTTTCACTGCTATGTAGTGCTCTCATCCACAAGGATCCCAAAGCATTAAGCTGTATTCTCCAACTAACTGCAACAGAATGGCATTTTTCGCAAAGTTTACCTTCCATGCATTTGCACTCAGCTCCTTCACACAGCCTCAGAAGTTTGTCATTTCCAAAAGGGTTATAAAATATGGTGCATTGTTTATCTACAGAATTGAATAGGAAAAAATAAATGCATGTAGAAGTTGAATTCCAAGAGAGTACCATCCAGACCTCTTCAGCCAGAAAGATGGTGACTGTGACATAAGCCTTAATATAATGTAGATTAAAAGTTGTGAAAAAGGGAGAAACTGTTAGTTTCTTAACAGGATTCAAAGAATCTTCTGAGAGCAAAAGATGTGAATTTGAAGAACTGGAACACATACCTGGTGCATGATATTCATACACAGTGAATGTGGCAGGGCTCCGCATTCCAACACGGTAAATCTCCCCTATTCGGAACGCAACACACATGAATTTATTAGCTGGCACCTGTTTGAAGAATGCATGAATTAGAAAGACACCAAAAGAAAGCTCTGTGTTACCAAAAAATAAAATAGTGCTTCCAATTGTGAATAATCATAGGAAATAAAAAAGACGATCTACCGATTCTATCTGTAGAACAATATGTCCATCTTTTATCTCATAATTGGTTATCAACTGATCAACTCCACTTGCAAGCTAGGGGGGAAAATAGAGAAAGGTTTTTAATCAGCTAATTTAAAAGGATTTTACATGGTCTTCCATAAAAGTTTTATGCTTATTGGTTTTAGCATGGTTTTGAGGAGTAAAACATTTTCTACAAATGGATCTTCAGTTACTTTAGTATTGCCATGTGATCCTAGTCATGAACAATTCCATACTTTAAGGGAACTGTTCTATCATCCCCTTGGGATAAAAACAACAACTATGAAATCTCAACATTCTTGAACTTTGGTGAAGTCTGAGTCCAGATCCAAACTTCATATTTGTCTCCCATTTTTCTAGGACATTGACTCCCATTGACTTAACTGGATGAGGCCCATAATGGGCAAAAACCCAGACTCTAGACTCAGGTACACGATTCCAATTAGTATGAGAAAAATGCGTTGCAATAAGATAGAGACAATGCTGAAAATCTGTGCTACTACCATAAAAAGATATAAAGCAGAAGGACAATAAATACTGTAGGTAAAGGTAAAATTTTCTTTAATATTTACAGTAGATAAATCTTCTGTATTTGCTTCCAGTCCGCTAACCAAAGTTATATCCATCACTACATGGGAAGACCCTGACTGTGGTTCTCTCTCACTAGGCTTGTACCTAAAATGGACAAAAAAATGAATATAGATAGAACCAAAACTTAGAACTTAGCGCACGGTCCTCAGAAAAACCTCTGGGCAAATTCTACTCATTCTTATGCCATTGTAAATCCATAACAACTTCACTGACTTCAGCTGACTTACTCCAGATTTACACCAATAAAATCAATAGAGATTACAGGTATTATTTACATTACAGTAGCGGCCACAGACTCAATCCAAACATAAAATTAAAAGAGTCCCTAACCCAGAGAGCTTACAATCTTTGACCCTGATCCTGCACATGTTTACACACATGCACATAAAAAGGGGTAGAAAGAGGGAAACAAGGGTCACAGCAGTAGTAACACAAGGTGGCAATTATTAGCAAGTGGATGACGAATATTTTAATCTCTTTTTTCCTTCTAACTTTGTTTTTCAAAAGTGCGGGAAATTAATGCATATAAATGCATATGCTAAAGTAAGTTAAGGCTACAGTTTTGAACATTCAGAAAACAGGAAATGCACAAGTAACCTCTTCATAGTAACCCTTGGCACTGATCCAATGACTTAAGTGCCAGCTGGGAATGGGGAATCCTGTGTAGGGCAGAGCTAGGAACCCAGGAAGTTTAGAGTTTGGATTAAATTTAAAATATACCTAGACATGTAAAATATTGAAAAGCTCAGTTATGTCACTGAAAAATCAATTGTACTTACTTTGCGCAAGCTTCTAAACGTTCAGGTTGGTTATCATCTTTTCTTCTTTCACCTTTTGTACGTTAAATAGAACATATAATTTATAGCTCTTCAGAAGCAGCTGTCCAGACCACAGCATACTTATATGAATGGGTTCTCATGAACTATTTTCATATTCAGGAGACAAATACTTTTCAGAAATTTTTTCAGCCAATTTTTAATGGGAACCTATGTTCTATTCATGAACAAACAACATAATTTTTCATTTATACCTTAGCCAAAATTTTAATTTTTATAAACTGAACCAGCAAAGCACTTATCCATCTGCTTAAGTAAATGAAACTCAAACGGGTTAACTTAAGTGCACAGTACTTGCAGAATTGAACCCACTGACCTCCACTCCCAGATCCTTCTTCTGCAAGATAACAGCTGTGTACTGTTAAATTAACAGCTATGAATGACATCAAAAATTGATTGGGGTGAAGGTAAAGTTATGTGCACGGAATATTGACCACTTTGTTAATCAAGATGCATTTTCCTGTACAGTCCTGATTAATTTAAAAAAGAAAAACAAGATTTTAAAAGTCACCACTAACTCTTTACCTTTATCTGTCAATACATTAACCTTCAACTCAAAGTCACATGTCTCCTCAGAAGTACTGAATTTATGATATATAGTCCTCACCTATAAATGTACAAATAGACAATTAACAGAAAACATGCACAGCAAACAATTCTCAAAATTGATAAACAGGTGTTCATATTTGGAGATGATCAAAGGCAGACAGTCATATGCAGAATTAGATGTCAGTGTCTGGGGGCTTATTTGAACCTTGGAAATTAAGTTTGTCAGGGTCACAAACCTTACCACACGTAGGTAAGCTTTGGCTGTTATGGCATCCAGAGAAGCCCCTATGAAATCAAACCACTGTAATGTACTGCAATCAAAGTAGACTGTTTGATGTTGAGTTGAAGACCTAACCTGTGGAATAGGTGTTTTGTACTGTGGAAGGAACTTCATCATACAACGGGCCCTTGAACAGCCAATCATTGAGGTAAAGGAAGATGATCATACTTAGTTGCCACAAATGAACGGCTACTACCTGCCATGACCTTTGAGAGCATTCCGGGGCAGGGGAGGACAAAAGGAAGCACTCTCTACTGGTAGTGATTCTGGTCAACTGTAAAATGAAGAAACCTCTTGTGACAGGTGAATTGTGATGTGAAAATATACATCCTGAAGGTCAAGGACTGAGAACCAGTACCCAGAATCCAGTGACAGAATTATAGCTGTGAGAGTCACCATCCTGAAATTCTTTAATTTCACAAAGGTGTTTATGAGTCTCAGATATAATATTGGTCTCCATCCCCCATTCTTTCTGGGGACCAGACAATACTTTGAATAGAATCCCTTCCCCTTGTACTGGGCTGGAACTGTTTCTATGGCCCCTATGCATAGGGGGCAGATGACTTCCTGTCTCAGCAAATGATCCTAAGACAGATCTCTGAGAAGAGGAGGAGGACAAGGAGGGGTGGAACAGGAAGGAATGGAGGTAAAATAGATGGAGCAACCTGAGGTTACAACTTCCAGAATCCACTTGTCCAATGTAATTTGTTCCTATGCAGGTAATATGTGAAAGTCCAGCTCTGAAGAGTGGGAGGTGGGTAGGCTGGGGCAGCTGAAGATTCACAAAGCGAAGATGTTCTAGATCTCTGACCAAGCCATCAAAATTGACATTTGGTCTAAGACAATGATTGGGTAGTGATAGCAATCATGGTAGGAGGTCTTTTCTTTTGAAAGCTTGACCTCTTTTTAGGTGGTTCTGTAGATCTACGATAGATAGAAAATTGAACCAGTTACTGTCTTTGTGTGGTTTGAGAGCTACTAAATTTCCTCTTATTGGCAGGTGTGTAAATGCCAAGATCTGAGTGTGGCTCTAAAGTCCTTCAAGGTGTGAACAGATTCATCTGTGGATTCAGAAAAGAGTTTCAGTCCATCGATGGGGAGGTCTTCCACAGTGTTTTGGATGTCCCTGGGAAATCTGGACATTTACAGCCAAGACACTCAATGCATGATGATGTCAGTGGAGACATATTGAGCTGCAGGGTTGGCTGCATCTAGAGAAGCTTGAAATGACACCCTTGCTAAAAGCTGACCCTCTGTTATGACGACCTGGAACTGTTCTCAAAGTTCTTCAAGAAGTTTTTCAATAAAATTGTTGAATGTACTGAAGTTAGCATGGTTGTATTTCACCATCAGACCTTGATAATTTGTGATCCTGAATTGCACAGTCACTGAGGAGTACCTCTTGTGCCCAAAGAGACTGAGACGTTTCTGGTCTTTATTGTAAGGGATTGCTTGCCATATTCATTGACAGCTTCCACAACTAAAGAATTTGGTGGCGGGTGAGAGAACAAATATTCTGAATTTCTTGCTAGGACATAATATTTCTACCCATTTATAGTAGGTGGTGCTGTGGCAGGAGTCTGCCATATGGTCTTAGCAGGTTCTGGTAGAGCTTCATTCAAAGGTAGTGACACTGTCCAGAGGTGGTGTAAAATATCCAAAAGCATACGTTGTGACTCTTGAGCCTCCTCCAAAGGAATCTGGAGTGAATCAGAAATGCATTTCATCAGCTCCTAGAACTGGTTGAAGTTATCCATCGAAGAAGGTGGTGGAGGCATTACAGCCTAATTAAGCGATGATGGTATGTTTGAGGTGTCACTTTCTTGTCTGCTCTGGCCTCTTGTTCCTCAAAGATCTCCTCTTGGGGTTGAGGAGGACTCAATGGAGCAGAAAAATATATATCCTTATGCTGATCATCAGAGTAGCTAGGAGCTCTTGAAAACTGCTGGCAATACAGAACTCAAAGTCCCAATATGAGTATTGCGGGGAACCGTAATGTAAAGGAGGCGGCATCCAGTGTTGGTCATACCAGCGAAAAGAAGCTCAAAACTGTTTCTCCCTTGCAACTTCCCTCTCAGAATGATTAATCAGGGGGATATCTCTTCTATGGTAGGCAGGAAATCCCTGGATGAAGATCTGGGAATCACAGAAATCATCCTCAAAATAGTCCAGTGGGGCAGGCAATGAAGGTGAAGCTAGATGTCTGTCCGATGTGAGAGGTACCAGAGAGCTGGGAGTCACTGGTGAAAGATAATGTCTTGGTGACTCAACAGATCACAGTAACAACAAAGGTTCAGTCCCCATTAGCAATGGAGACACCAGTTCCTCTGAAACAAAAAGGTTCCTGAAGATTCTTGTGGTAACAGGTGTATCTGAGCCAAGGTTGAGTGAGGCCCTACAACAACTGGCTTCAATACCAAGGTTGCCGACTGCTTTGATGGTGCCTGTCTAGAAGATGGGTGTTGGCACCGGAGGCGCTGATTGCTTCAGAGATGCATATCTAGTGGACGGCGTCAGTACTGGAGATGTTGATGGCTTTTGGCACACTGGCATAGCAGTCTGGGATACCAGTTTGCGTACCAAGGTGGACGTTTCCAGTTTCCTAGAATCAAAGTGCTTGGGGTTCATAGCCATCCCAGCTTCCTAGAAGCAGTGTACTTACATTCTCTGCTGGAATTATCATGTCTTATTGGCACCAATATCAATATTGGAGCATGCTTAGTACTGCATCTCTTGAAGAGCTTGAAGTCTTTGATGAGCTCCCAGTAGCAGAGCATCATCTTGGAACCTCAAAGGTACTCTCTCTGGGACCAAAGGTCTCTGAAACAGTCATGCTCTGAGGTGACTGAGATTTCTCTGAAAAGGGCTCCGGTGGGAGATACAGAACTCCTCTTCTTTGGAGCCTGTTGGTACCTTTGGCGCCTTTATCCTGTGAAGATCCCAGCGCATGAGATATGGAGGTCAATGGGGCACTAAGTACACTTGAAGGCCAGTGTACAAGGGGTCCTCTGAACCAAGATCTGATGCTGGTCTTAGGGCTTGCTCCATCATAAGCAATCTAAATTTGATTTCTCTGTTTTCTCTAGATCTGCTCTTTAAAAAAAGTGCAGATCTTACACTTTGCCAGTATGTGGGTGTCTCCCAGGGAAGACACTAAGAATGTCCATTGCTAATGGAGACGGACTTCCTGCAGAAAAAAACGCAGTGCATAAGGCCTGGGGATCCTGGCATAACAAATGATGACCACCCCTAAGACAGAGCCATTCAAAAGTGGAGGAGAACAAGGGTGTTCAATTAAAAAAACCCAGATAAAAAAGGGGCTACCAGATTAATAAAGTAAAACAAAAACTGGTAAACTAAACTATCTGAAGACTAGGATAAAAAAAGCTAAGCTACTGCTAGGCTGAAAGCAGGCATGCTAGATGCTCTTTCTGAGGCCATAGGGCAGCTGAGAAGGAACTGAGGATGGTTCACTCATGCAGTTCTATGTGTACTCTGTATGGTGCATGAAGATGTCTGATATGCATGCTGGGCCGAACAGGCATTGTTACAGAAAATTACTGATCAAAGGTGCATGGGGCACATGCGTCCTGAAGTGGCACACCCATAGGGACACTACTGAAGAAGTAGTATACATAAATATAGCAATATATCACACATGCAAGTTAATATATGGGTGTACAGTAATGACTCCTCTTTGAAAATTGCAGAGCAAAAGGGATAAAGAGATGACAGAATAATTGAAACATACATTAATTCAGCCTGTGCATATGAGACTAGGTTGTGGTCCTGTGTTTATATTATAAAAGAATAACAAATATCAACCATCTTACTGAAGTCCCTTTGTGAATTACGTATTGTTCTGTTCCGAAAGGTGGTAATCAATTATTTATTTGTAAAATTCCTGGAGGTATAGAAGCCAAAGGATAAATAGTATGTCATAATAGCATTGTAATATATTTATAAACAATAATACAAAGCACAGAAAAATAGAATAAGAGAAGGCACACTCTCTATTACAAAGTTATTGAGGCAAAGTTTTTCAAGAATGTTCACTAATTTGGGAGTTCTCCATTTTTGGGTGCCCAACTTGAAACACCTAGAAATTGGTGTCTCCAATTGCACACTCCAAATTAGTGAGCTCTGTTAAAAATTTTGGCCTAAATATTTAGAACTACGGAACAGATAAGTTGGGGGAGGAGGGAAGAATTTCCATCGCTTGTCTCACTACAAATAAATCACCTGAGGTAATTTAATTATTTTACTGCTGTCAAAATGTTCCAGAATTAGACAATATACTTTAGGAATCACATGACTTAAGACAAATGAGTTGAGTTGGTGTAAAAGTAGGTGTAACTAATGATTTCAAATGGAGCTGCACCTTCTTACACAAGATCTATACGTATACAAAATGGCTTCTGCCACTTTGGTCCAGGGAACAGGTAACAGAAGTCGGGACACAGAGGAAACTTCTCGGGATCCCTTTCATTGCCCATATTGACAAGACCAAAAAAAGGCTTTGTTCTTTAAAAATTTTTGCTTAATCACTTACATTTACTGTTGCTAAACCAGTGCTGCTCCCAGTGCTTACATATATGTCATCGTGCAAAGGTACCTAAAGATGTAAACATAAATATGATTTGACATTAAATATAAATATTTGCAAAGTACTAGTTAAGATACTACCATTAGCAGTCAAATAGATAGAAGTCACATGGATCTTATGATCTTTTTTACATTTCTGATTACAAGCAAAGGGCCAGTCCCACTGTTTACACATGCAACTTTACACATTTGTGTGGTCTTACTGAATTCAATGGGACTATTCATGTAAATAAGTGTTTCGAGGATGTGGTCCTGAATCAGTGAAACCTTTAATCACTTGCTGCATCAATTAAATCTTAGTAGATGAAGACAACAGTTAATCAAATGGTATTTTTCATAGACACATTTTCTTTTTTTAAAATTTGTCTAGACTTTATTTCTTTCCTTCTCAAAGGAATTTTTGTAAGTTATTAATAAGATTTGTTTTCACTTTTCTAAGGTAAAACTATTCACTCACTTCCAGAGTCCCTCCTATGTAATTTTCTTCTGTCAGTTTATAGCGCTGAAGGTCTCCATAATTCTTGTAAGCCACCTTGACATCCATGTTCAGCAAAAGACGTTTAACAAGAAGGGAATATTCAGTCAAGGCTTCAAGGGCATTAATTGTGTCCTGTCAAAAATCAAATTAGAAAGAATTACTACTGGAATGGAAACTAAACTGTAACAAAACTGATTATTAAACACTTTACTCAGACACTTATTTAGGAAGACAGATAATGGTAACCCTAACCAGCTAAGCAGTTTAATAGTGTGTTATTATACTCTTAATAAAATGATAGGATATTTAACACTACTTTGTGGGCATGTTTGTGTAATTTATTGTTTTATTAAAAGTTTATAAATAAGTGCACAGCTGCTGGAAACAGATGTTTTAAAAATAAGAAAGCTAGTAAATAAGCACAACTATTGCTGTGAAAAATTGCTATATCATAGCTTTTCACTTCATAGATTTTTTTATTTGCAAAACCAGAAAGTTTGCAAGAATTAGCAAATTTGGTCAAGGGTGACTTTTTGTCAGAAAGCATATGGGAAAACAATGAAATTCCACTAATCATTTTTTTAAAAACACAAGTGAATTTGCTGTTTTTAATACAAAAAGTTTTTCATCTGTAAATACGGCTTTTCATTTTTTGTGAAAAACAGTGACAAATTCAGTGTCAAAATATATTGGTTTTGTAGAAATTTTGGTCAAAATGAGTTTTTTCCTGGTACACAGTTTTTTTCATCTGGCTGTATCTAAAGTCAATAGAGTGAGCCTGCAGATATAGGAGTAATGATTTGCATGTACTGCTAAGGAAGTAACATTCCTGCTGCTGGAGGTCATGTTGCTAATTTCCTTTGATTCCCACCCAACATAACAGGACACACAAGTCATCAGTTTGGCTCATGTATTACCCTACTAAGGCTTCTCTGATTTCATCATCTGAAAAACGGGAGAGAAACATTTAAAAACACACCTGAGTGGAATAAAATCCACCACCATATCTTTGCTCTTCAGACAACCATCTGACAACTGGATCAGCATAGACTTTGTCCCCACTCAAGAGAGTGGTTAGCAAGGCATAAGCAGTGGTTTCAACAATCTGCGCAGTGCCAGCATTAGGAACATATTTATCTAGTTTAGTGGAAGTATCCTTCCAAAAACGATAAACAGGAGGGTCACCTGGAGGAGTAATAAAATATTAGCAGGGGTTAAAGTAGATTGTAACAGGAGGGGGAGCTCTCACCACACAAGCCAAACTGGAGGGGGAGGACTGCTTATCCAAGTCAGGGAGAGAAGGAGGAGTTCTCCCTCTGTTTTTATCAGAGATGGAGTTGTGCTCTCTTTATGCCCGAAGGCTATTTAAACCTCTGAATATAACCTGACCTGTGCAAAACACAATTTAATTCTCTAACAGGAAAAGCAGATGCTATTCCTTTGTTGCTACCTTCGTTGTGAAACAGATGGTGGTAGACTTATGTTCTGTTGGTCTTGGGAATAGAGGAGTTTGATGTATTATAGGATACTGTATTTACAAACCAATAACAAGTGATTTTTAACTTTATTACCATTAATTTTCATGTTTTATACTTATATGTTGTACATATCAACAGAAACTAAATATTAAAAAAATTGTTAAGATCAGCAACTTGTAGTGGAACTGAATTGTGCATTTTGAAATCAAAATGCTGGTGAGGACCACAAGGCAAGAGAATTGCTCGTCTAGGTCCTCTCTGCATCCCATTGCTTTGTTAAGGCAGCCCTAATATCATGTACATATAAATCACTATAACAGTCATCAATCTGCTTTTACACTATTCAATAAAACCCCCACTGAATTTCTTGAAAGGAGATGGAAACTATGGTTATATTAATTTTTTTAAGAAACAAACAAAAAAAACGGTTCCCTACCTTTCATAACTGTTGTTCTTAAGACATGTTGCTCATGTCCATTCCATTGTCGGTATGTGCGTGCCCATGTGCACGATCATCAGAGATTCTGCCTTAGCAGTATCCCTAGGGCTGGCTCTGGCGCCCTCTGGAGTACCACGCTCATGCTGCGGTATATCAGGCGCCGCCAGCTCTCCACCCTCTCAGTTCCTTCTTGCTGACTACTCCAACAGAGGGGCAGGAGGGCAGGTAATGGAATGGACATGAGCTACACATCTCGAAGAACAACAGTTACGAAAGGTAGGTAACCGTTTTTTCTTCTTCGAGTGCTTGCTCATGTCAATTCCATTCTAGGTGACTCGAAAGCAGTATCCCCAGAGGTGGGCTTGGAGTTCAGAGTCTTGCAGACTGGAGCACAGCTCTGCCGAAACCAGTGTCATCTTGAGCTTGCTGAATCAGAGTATAGTGCAAAGCAAATGTGTGGAAGGACGACTAGGTCACGGCCTGACAAATTTCTTGAATCGGTACCTGAGCGAGGAAGGCTGCCAAGGACGCCTGCACCCTAGTCGAGTGAGCAGTCACAATCACCAGTGGGGACATCTTCGCCAGCTCATAACAGTAGTGGATGCAGGCAGTGATCCACAATGATATTCTCTGGGCAGACATTGGGCAACCCTTCATCCTGTCTGCCACAGCAATGAACAACTGCATTGACTTACAGAACAGCTTCGTTCTATATATGTAGAAGGTCAGTACCCTTCTGACTCCAATGAACTCTATGCGTTGGACTGGTGTTAACATGGACTTTTCTGTGTTTATTAACAGGCCCAGGTCACTGCAAGTGGAACATACCAGATCGAGACTCCTTTGCACCTGCTCCAGAGACCTGCCCTTGATGAGCCAGTCATCAAGATATGGGAAGATCTGGATTCCCTGACGTCTCAGGTAAGCCACCACCGGTGCCACGCATTTCGTGAATACCCTGTGAGCCGAGGACAGGCCAAAGGGGAGCACTGTAAACTGGAAGTGGTGGCCAGCCACTATGAAATGATTAACTATTTACAGCTAGAAGCGCAAGGCGAAGTTAGAAGAGAAATCACTGGCCACTTGTGAAGCCAGGGACAGAGGCATGCCAACTGACCACCATGGGTGGTAAGAAGGAACTGAGAGGGCATAGGGCCAGCAATGCCTGATATACCGCAGCATGAGTGCGGCACTCCACAGGGTGCCACAGCCGGCCCTGTGGATACCACTAAGGCAAAAGCCTCAGACGACTGCGCACATGAGCACGAGCAAACCTACAATGGAATCGACATGAGCAAGCACTTGAAGAAGAACATATATTATAACTTATTAAATATTTCAATTCATCTGAAAGAATCTTTATGGTCAAGTTCATCTGTGTTGCAAACTTTGCTCACTTACCTACAGACCATCTACTTCAGTAACAGGTTCTTTAGGTTGAAGTGATAGTTTACTGAGTCATACCTTTTACAAGAGCTTCCTTCTTCAGTGCAGAAAAGGCTGAGCGTGCACCAGGATGGTTTGAATCCATGAGAGCTAAAGCATAAGAAGCTATTGCCAAGGTAAATGTGCTTTCTGCAGCTTGCACATTTTTCAGCAAATACCCTTCTCCTGCATTTTTAGCTTCTTGGATTTTCTGAAAAGGTGAACAGGAGGTTATATGTATTGGAAGGATAATCATCTATTGTATTACCAAGACATTATGTATTTATACAGTACCTTCTACAACCAAATCCCCAGGTAAATGATCTGGTTTGTTCTTTTGCTTATTTTGGAAGTTGTATCACCACTGTGGTTCACTAACGGCTAGATCAACATGTATATATTAACATTTGACACTGGAAGTAACTCTTATGATAAAAGAAAAGAGCTTTGGTTTGTGGCTGGTTTGGGTTGAGAGAGAATCATAGATCCTTATGATCAATCCTGACTTGCCTCTGGGTCAGGACTGGGGGGGAAGGAGACGGAGGAAATCTAAGGACAGCAGAACACAGAAGCCGAGAATATGATTGCCTGTAGCCTCATTGGAGAAATGAAAGCATTACATACCTGTGTTGGGCATAAATGAATGGCCTTTGCAAGTCCAATAACAGAAAAAGCTGTGAGATACAAAGTTTTTTCTTTGGCTTCTTTAGGCAAAGTACCCTAAAAAAATCCAAATATGTAAATAAAGGTAGTTAGAAACAATGCGGTCAATTGATAAAAAGAATATTTTACAACTTAAGCGAGGAACTGAAGAAAAATTTCTGTAAGAAGTATCAGTCCAATAGCAATTTTATTTTTGCACTGAAAAGAAGTCTTCTTTTGTGAAGAGGTTAATTTACTTAAAAAAATACAGACAGACTAGAACAAAAATACGTGTAAAAGTAATGACAAGCCAATATTTTTTCAGGACTTTTATATCGTGATTAGAAAAAGACAATATACATGTTGCTTTCACAGCATCTAAGAAGTAACATACAAGTATCTGTACCTGAAAAATATAGTGAAGTTTGAAAGACTGCGCTACCGTAAAAGTGATTTTAGAAGGAGAGATGTGTGCACATGTATTAGAACTCAGTGAATTATAGCAAAATTATCTGTAAACCTCGGATTCAGCATAGCATTTAAATACTCGCTTATACGCTTTGCTGAATCAGGGCCTAAAACAGCTTGTGTATCAAATAATGGAGTACCTTACAGCAACTTGAGCCTTTAATATATGCACAAATAAAACGTATGTTCACTTGTCATACCTGTAGTTTTACTGGCTGATAACTTGAAAGTTCCTTGAATGACCCATCTGTCATTTGACAATTTTCAATCAGCCATAACACTGAATTACAAACAGAAATTTGATCCAGAGTAATATACAGACTAACTTGTCCAAAAATCCTTAAGGCAAAAGCTGTCAACCTGTGAAGGAAATTGAGCAAAATATAGATGTTTTGTTCAGTGTGTGAGATGATTTTTTTTGGGGTAGTTTAAAATACCAAGATAGACAGAGAGCACCTATTTAGGCACAAACTTGCATTACTAAGATTTGGGTTTACCGTATGTTGCCTTGGGTCAATTAAACCTTGTTGCAGCCCTTTCAGAATGGCTGGACAAATGTATGACTTTGACAGGGCACTCTTAGTAGCACCCTGGTCACTGATGTGGCTACAGCATGAAAAAGGCTGCAGGCTAGGAGCAATTAAACACCTTCTGTTGGGGGATTATGAGCACCTGTAATCACTGGGCTAACGATAGCAGGCTATAAGTGGAAGAAACAGGAAGCAAGGGGGAGCTCAGAAGGAAAGCTCAGGGGGTGACTGCTCCGCACTTTAAGTCAGGGGGTGGGGATTGTCTGGTCTGCTGGGGAAAGACGTCACCTCTTTAAGGGGTGGAGAGGCTACGAGTGACTTTTGCAGCAGCCGCAGAGCAGGTCAGTGTGGGGACACTGACCCATCCCCCACCCTGTCTCTCCCAAAGGATGGATATAAGTACAAACCAGACAGGTGAAACCCTTTTTACCGGGACCTGATGGAGAAGCACCTATTCTCCCATCCAGGGAAGTGGCGAAATACCAGGTTTGGACAGGATCCGCTGTAGGCACTGCAATAGCTGTTCCTTTCTTGGGGGCCTGAGAAGGAATTTTCCCCTCACCAACAGATTGACCAAGGCATAGTATGGGTTTTTTTCCACCTTCTCCACAGCGGGTTCAGGGGGGACTTAGCTAGGGTGAACATGGAATGGGAGTTAAGCTACAATGCGGCAACTCATTATGTAAATATGGGGTGGAGGTCCAATGCAGTTACTCTGTAGAGAAGGGATACAGTGATCAGATAAAGGGATCTAAAGGAGGGGAAACGGGAGTGTTCAGGGCACCTATGACTGGCACGCCAGGGAGCCAACCCCTCCCCTTTATAGTCCACCTTAACCCTCATTTGAGGAAGGAGCATTGTAAGGTCCCAGCAGCAGGTTGGCTGGGGACCAGTATGGTAAGAGGAGGGGACTGATGGAAGCTCCCAGGTGTATGTTAAAATGATCACGGAATTACCCACACTGTACACTTTTATCTGCCAGGTGCACCCAGAAAATTAATCATTAAGTTGTGGCACCACTTCCCGCAGCTCCCATTGGCTGGGAACGGCGAACTGCGGCCACAGGGAGCTGAGGGGCTCCATGCCTGCAGACGCTTCAGGTAAACAAAATGACAATGTATTAGATATTCAATTCAATGATTTCACAGAATTTAAAATCATCAAATTTTGGTGTAGACCCATTTATAAGCTGACCCCTGCTCTTTGATGCGTCACTTTTTTACCAAAAATATTTGGCTTATGAACGAGAATATACGGTACACATCTGGTGGTCAAAAGGTAACAACCTGGTGTGTGTGTCTGTGAGGCCGCATGAGCTGGACAGGCAGTGAGGTACACTGGGTAGCCACAGAGGCACCCTGTAGCAATGATCAATAGTATTTTTAAATTAGCATTGTAAAATAAAGTTAATCAAATCTCATGCTGCAGTGTGCAAGCTGATCTCTACAGAGCACAGGAAGGTGATTTTTCCTTAAATACAATACTGTACAATAGTCTTGGCGTACTGTGGGAGATTTTCCACCCTTCTCTGAACCATCAGGAATTAGTCACTGAGAGTCACTTCTTCCTGTAAATACTTAGGCAAAAATGATGCCCATGATCCATAAGTGGAACTAACAGTGGCATTGATGGAGTACTGTGCACACATTAATGGCAATATGAAATGTGGCCCTTAAACATTAGTCACTGTGGAAACACAGGACTGAATCAAACCTTTCAAATCCACTTTAATAGAATGATCATTTTAACTCACCAAGTGCTGGATGTCCCGTCTTTCCACATGCTGTAAGAGAAGTCTCTGTTTCTGAATGACAGGATGCTTACAATACCTAAGATATACATAAAGCAGACTTAGTGTTTCTGAAGCACTGATTTCTATTCAAATTACATTTCTTCACTTAGAAGAAAAATTAACCTCTCTTTGATAACTGGCCTCTAATTGTTTTGTTTCTAAAAAAGCAGCAAATGGTTAACTTCCAACTCAAAAAGATAATATTAAATTACCCTAATTGTGCATGTCAACTAAAACTTTACTGCTTCCAAATAAGATAAGATCATATTTTATAGGGTTTGCAACATAGGTGTCAGTTCAAGCAATTTTGTAGTTCAGCCACTACAGAAACATTATGTGAAACATAGTTAACCCCACAGTTTTAGTTTAAAATATTTTTTTTAAAATACATTAGCTTTATTACATTTTCATCAAATATTAAACATTATCTTTCCTATCCAACAGTATCTGCAAGTCCTTAGAACCTTCAAATAAAACCAGAAATTGAAGACCACGTTTTTCTACCTTCTTTCATCTTCCTCCTCATATTAACTCTTGATGTTATGGTTTCAGGGCCAAGTAAATTCCAGTTATTGGACTTTTCCAGGTAGTGAAAGACATAAAATACTGGAGCAATACTCATGAGCTCTGCCTCTGCACTGCCCTTAGGCAAATTAGTAAGAAACTGAACACCTTCACGTTTGAGAGCAGCAGAGATTACTTCACCCATAAGCTGTCCTGTGAAGAAAAACAACATGGTTAATTGCTGCCTCAGAAATACAGGCATAACTCTTATTGACTTAATTGGGAGTTGTGCAAGAATATCTGAGGGTAGAATTTGACCCATAACATTTAGAGATACTCTAATCATTTTCTATAAAAATCTATTAATAAAGATACGAGTTTAAGACAATATAACCTCTAAAGAAGAGGCTGGTCTAAATAGCCTTTTCTCAAAAGAAAGAGAGAGAACCTGAGAGTATAGTCAGGTGGGTAGAGCAGAAAAAAAGGAAATTAAGAAAGAGAGCAAGCACGTATCTAGAAACTAAACATAAAATACTGCAAACATTTCATTCCATTTACCTTTTATACTCACAGTCCTGTCAATTTTCGTTTTGGGGACCAGATCAAATGGTGTCCTGTATCGAAATTCTTGTCGTCTTCTGATTATACCTGCAATTGGAAATAAGTACATATATATCTCAACATATTTATAGCATTACCTGCTGGGTCAGACTGAAGCCACAGCTGTTTGCCAATTTATCAAACACACACAAAAAATCATGAAAACTAGAGTGGGGTCTAAAATCCAGATCCAAACAACTCTAAACTTTGAAAAAGTTCAGATCCAGACCCTAACTCCATAATAAATTAAACTAATACTTGGATCTTTAGAAAAGTTCTAATCTTGATCAGAACTCTGGGGGATAGATTCATCTCTGATTAAACTGGATTATTTTCTATTCTAGGGAAAACAGCACTTGGTAGTCGGTTTTCCTGAACAACTAAATTTAGAAAAATCTCAAAGTCTGCATGCCATATAAGATATGAGTTCCTAATCATTCCAATTAATCAAAATCTAAAAAAAATGGCTAGCTACTTTGAAAGGGACTCCATTACTGTGTGCTAGGGCATGCAATTTCACAATAGAGATATGTGAGCATTGTGCCATGAAGAAGAATTGATTTTGATGTTTGTCTGAGATTGCAGAGTAAAAGAACAAAATCACTTTCCATACCATTAACACCTTGTGGATCCAGAGAAAAGCCTGCATGAAGTTCTCTCTTAACACCTTCTGGCTGCAATCAAGAAGAGGCCAAAACTAAGCAGTACATCAAAGTACTTTGTTTAATTTAACACACTGACTAAAGCAATAATTTTAAAATATCAAACAATCAGACCCACATAATCTTTGTCTAATTCTCAGTTTAAAGGTTTGCTGCTGCTGCCTGCCATTTCTTTTCAAAACAAAATCTTCAACCAAAATTAGCAACAGATGTAAATAAAGTTTATGGGAATTATAAAACTATAATAAATATATCTTTACAATAAATGTATTTAAGTATTTGAAAAACTGATGCAAACCACATCATCAATATTCTATACTCTATTTGCTTATTTTAAGTTACAAGCTACATACATCATATTTACACCTATTTGCCTACTAGTTGTCAACCATTGTAATCCATACATTTAAAAAAGTAAATACATAAGGGCCCAATCCTGAAGTTGCATCATGGCATAACTCTCAATGAAGTCAATGAGCATTTTATATGAGAAAGGACTACAGGATCAGGCAAATGTTTTATGCCTTTTATATACACATCAGAATGGAGATTAACAACTGCTGCAACTGGTAGATCTGTTAAACAGAATGACAAGACTATTTGCAGGTGTATTATTTGTTATTTTACAGCACCCAAAAGACTGATAAGCACTTTTTAAACACAAGTAAATTACATATGATCCCTGGATTTCATAAATCAAATGCAGTCATGTTCATATTCTGATTTCATATATTTATAAAATACCATCCATTTATTATGACTGAATCTATTCAAAAAGAGTTCTAAGGAAGGTTTTGGTCTTACCACCACACGCAATGTTTTCACTAAAACTTCACTGTTCTGTTCAGCCAACAATGTAAAGTTGATTGTATGAAGACCTAGTTCCAGAGGGAGTATTCTGAATGTAACTGATGTGACAGAATAACCATCTAGGTTCTGAAATTGACAACTCTGTAACCTTTCCTGAGCACTTGCAGAGCCTTCGAACAAACAGATTCCATCTCCAACTGTTGCTTTAACACAGAACTGAAACATCAGAGAAGATTTTAAAAGATTAAAATAAATTTTACACTGAGTTAGATAACGCTAAACAATTTTACTATTGTTAGCAATGTGTAAAAGTGATTAACTTTATTATTATTGTTGTTATTTGCATTATAGTAGCGCACAGAGGCCCTAACCAAGGATCAGAGAGCCATAGCGCTAGGCATCATATATACAGTTGCATACAACTTTTCTTTGCAACATTTTTCTGTAAAATTTTACTGTTCTGTTTCAGGGTATTTTTCATCCCTAAAATTTTGCTTTTCTATTAAACCTCCAGGCAACATTATTTATTTGCTTTCAAAAATTTGTAACCAAGAAAACCACCCTCCACTTGAAATTTCAAACTCAAATTTTGAGCAGAAGCGTTATATTATTTATTTTTTAATATTTATATTAGGATAGAACACAAAAGTTGCTATGTAATTTCAAAACACAGAGAAAGATGCAGTCTCTATGCCCGAAAGAGCATACAGTTTAAAAAGACAGACAGACAAAGAGAAAGGAAAAGGGATACAACATCCAAGCAAGGAGGTGAGGGTGATAACTGGGACATCCTATTAGTATAGCAGCCATCTTTAAAAAAAATATTTTGTGCACTGTACTTTTACATGAGAGAAGGTGGATGCTACAGAAAGAAAACTTCATATGTTGCTGAATGCTGCTTCTGCTGAACTGACCCTTTCTTCCCTGTCCTGTCCAAGGTTCTTTCTACCAAAGCTAACACTGTGGGCGCTCAAACATGTAGTCTGTGCCTGACCAGCAGGAGGGAAGGACTAGAAAAGGGAGTGAAGCAGAAAGCTGTAAAGATTAGTGCATTTCTTGATGTACAAAATTGTTTATTCTTGAGTCCGAAAGTTTTTTCCACATTTGATCAAGAGCGCTGCCCTCTCAGTTCAAGAAGCTAATATGTAGAAACTCCATCCATGATTCTGTTCACTAGAGTACATTGGGAGCTGGCTTCAGAATTAAGTGAAAGTCATTTCATGTGTCAGTTCCACTTATGCCATTTTGGCTTCCCTTTTTCACCACCTACCATTGAGAACTGGCTAGGCCACACACCAGGATATTCTACAAACATAGCTATTGGTTCTGCCTGGGGGCAGTTGATTTTTTAATACAACTTTTGAACTGTGCCCAAATAGAATGTGATGGGCGCTACAGGAAGCAAATAAATTAAATTATGAAGTACAATGCTGCATTTTTTAACAATTGGAGAATCCCGACTCATGCATACTGACTGTATACTTGCAGAAACAAATGCTTTGTCAGTTCATCATAATACTACTTATATAAAATTCAGAAAATCCACAAATTACCATTGTTCTGGAATTTCTGTAGTTGTAAACAGATCCTTTTAACTCAATTTGTTCTCCACGCACAACAGAATAAGGTATATGCATGCTCACAAAAACATCTTTTAAAACCTGCACTTGGAGTGCATCAGCAACACATATGCCTAGGAAGAATTAAAAACATAATAACCCAATATGATATAAACAGAAGCACACATTTTATGCAGACTAGTCTCTCATTCCAAGAAGCAGGTCCATATCACTCCTCACACCCTTGTCACCTTTCTGGTTTCCTATCAAATTACAAAATCATAGAATCATAGAATATAAGGGTTGGAAGGGACCCCAGAAGGTCATCTAGTCCAACCCCCTGCTCGAAGCAGGACCAAATCCCAGTTAAATCATCCCAGCCAGGGCTTTGTCAAGCCTGACCTTAAAAACCTCTAAGGAAGGAGATTCTACCACCTCCCTAGGTAACGCATTCCAGTGTTTCACCACCTTCTTAGTGAAAAAGTTTTTCCTAATATCCAATCTAAACCTCCCCCACTGCAACTTGATCTACTTTGAAATCATCATCTTGGGTTTTCTGAAATCATCAAGGACTCGCTCCACTTTCTCTTTCTGAGTTGTTATCTGCCTAATTCCTTGTGCTCACTCCAGTCCTCCTACTCTGACTTCTTCTCAGTTCTCTCCTTCCTAGTGTTAAGATTTTCTCTTTCAGCTGTACTACCCCATCTATCACAAACTCTCTGCTCCCCCCTCTCTTCAAGCAATTAAGTCACTTCCTCTCAAGATCTTATTGCAGGATTTTCTTTTTCTCTGTAGCCTCCTATAAGACAACTGTAAAACAGAACTGCAGCCAAAGCAGAAGTATTAACATTTTTTTAAAAAATTTAACTTCTGAGAAGTACATAACAAATATTCAAACAACAAGCATATTGAAAAAAAACAGTATACTAGATGACATGATTTCAAATCAGATTATTCTGATTACAGTCTTTCTTTCTGGCCACCCAAAAATAATTTCCACAACGCTTTTGCATAAAAGATTCTCACAGATTCATAGCATCAAAGGTTGATGATTTATTCTATTTAACAAATAGGATTAGAAGTTTTCAAATGGTGTATAAAATTGGTTCTGGTGCTTACGGTTTTACAGATAGTGGTCAAATCAAGCCAGAATTAAACAAAGAGTGTAAACAAAAGAAGGTAACCAAAATATGATGATTTTAATGTATAATATTTCATGAACCAACAGGGCTAAAGAATAGCACTCTCTTGCAAATAATACATAGTATTAGTTTCTGTTCCTGGCGTTCCAAGAGATATCTGGCCAGCAAACATGAAGACTATATATCAGATAGGCCAGGATACTTTCAGCATTCCAAGCCTCTAGGACCAGTTTTCCCATGATACTGATGATCAAGGGGGAATGTTCAGCTAAAATATATATTAGTAGGGAAGGAAAAGAGAATCTTGGATCTCTTGAGACATCTAGATCAGGGGTTCTCAAACTGGGGGTCGGGACCCCTAAGGGGGTCGTGAGGTTATTACATGGGGGGGGTCACGAGCTGTCAGCCTCCACCCCAAGCCCCGCTTTGCATCCAGCATTTATAATGGTGTTAAATATATAAAAAGGTGTTTTTAATTTATAAAATGGGGGTCGCACTCAGAGGCTTGCTATTTGAAAGGGGTCACCAGGACAAAAGTTTGAGAACCACTGATCTATATAGACTTATGTGTAGTACTGGGGAGGAGCCAGTGGTCGTGGTACATGTAGGTACCAGTGACATAGGGAAGGATAGGAGAGAGGTCCTGGAGGCCAAATTTAGGCTGCTAGGTAAGAGACTGAAGTCCAGGACCTCCATGGTAGCATTCTCTGAAATACTTCCAGTTCCACACACAGGGCCAGTTAGACAGCCAGAACTGCAGGGTCTCAATGCATGGATGAGACGATGGTGTAGGAAGGAGAGATTTAGATTTATTAGGAACCGGGAAAACTTTTGGGAAAGGGGGAGCCTATACAGGAAGGATGAGCTTGACCTAAACCAAAATGGAACCAGATTGCTGACACTTAATATTAAAAAGGTCACAGAGCAGTTTTTAAACTAAGGACTGGGGGAAAGCCGATAGGTGTGGAGGAGCACATGGTTCGGACAGCGACATCCATTAGTGGAGGATCTATTGATGGAGATTCTCTATGACCTAGTAAGGACGAGAGGATGGAAGATGATAAAATATGGGTAGGATCTGATGAGAAAGAGCCAAATGAAAAAAGTCTCATTCAATTGCATCATGTAATGGCAGACAGCTAAAAAGTGAAAAGTTTTTAAAGTGCTTATATACCAATGCTAGGAGTCTAAATAATAAGATAGGTGAGGTACCTTGTAATAAATGAGGATATTGATATAATAGGTATCACAGAAACTTGGTGGAATGAGGATAATCAATGGGACACAGTAATATCAGGGTACAAAATATATTGGAAGGACAGAACAGGTTGTGCTGGTCGGAGAGTGGCATTATATGTGAAAGAAAGCACAGAATCAAATAAAGTAAAAATCTTAAATGAACCAAACTGTACCATAGAATCTCTATGGATAGTAATTCCATATTCTAATAATAAGAATAAAGCAGTAGGAATATATTACTGACTACCTGACCAGGATAGTGATAGTGACTGTGAAATACTCAGAGAGATTAGAGAGGCTATTAAAATAAAAAACTCAATAATAATAGTTGAAATCCCCCATCCCCATATTGACTGGATACATGTCACCTCAGGACGGAATGCAGAGATAAAGTTTTTTGACACCTTAAATGACTGCTTCTTGGAGCAGCTAGTCCCAGAACCCCCCAGAGGAGAGGCAATTCTTGATTTAGTCCTAAGTGGAGCACAGGATCTGGTCCAAGAGATGAATATAGCTGGACCACTTGGTAATAGTGACCATAATATAATTAAATTTAACATTCCTGTGGTGGGGAAAACACCACAGCAGCCCAACACCGTAGCAGAAAGGGAAACTACACAAAAATGAGGAGGTTAGTTAAACATAAATTAAAAGGTACAGGGACAAAAGTGAAATCCCCGCAAGCTGCATGGAAACTTTTTAAAGACACCATAACAGAGGCTCAACCTAAATGTATACCCCAAATTAAAAAACATAGTAAGAGAACCAAAAAAGTGCCACCGTAGCTAAACAACAAAGTAAAAGAAGCAGTGAGAAGCAAAAAGGCATCCTTTTAAAAGTGGAAGTTAAATCCTAGTGAGGAAAATAGAAGGGAACATAAACTCTGCCAAATGAAATGTAAAAATATAATTAGGAAGGCCAAAATGGAATTTGAAGAACAGCTAGCCAAAGACTCCCAAAGTAATAGCAAAAAAAAAAATTTTAAGCACATCAGAAGCAGGAAGCCGGCAAGACAACCTGTGGGGCCACTGGACAAGGGAGGTGCTAAAGGAGCACTCAAGCACGATAAGGCCATTGCAGAGAAACTAAATGAATTCTTTGCATCAGTCTTCACGCATGAGGATGTGAGGGAGATTCCCAAACCTGACCCATTCTTTTTAGGTGACAAGTCTGAGAAACTGTCCCAGATTGAAGTGTCATTAGAGGCGATTTTGGAACAAATTGATAAATTAAACAGTAATAAACCACCAGGACCAGATGGTATTCACCCAAAAGTTCTGAAGGAACTCAAATGTGAAATTGCAGAACTACTAACTGTAGTTTGTAACCTATCATTTAAATCAGCTTCGGTTCCAGATGACTGGAGGAAGCTAATGTGACGCCAATTTTTAAAAATGGTTCCAGAGGTGATCCTGACAATTACAGGCTGGTTAGACTGACTTCAGTACCGGTCAAACTGGTTGAAACTATAGTAAAGAACAAAATTGTCAAACACATAGATGAATATAATTTGTTTTGGAAGAGTCAACATGGTTTTTGTAAAGGGAAATCATGCCTCACCAATCTACTAGAATTCTTTGAGGGGGTCAACAAGCATGTGGACAGGGAGGAACCAGTGGATATAGTGTACTTAGATTTTCAGAAAGCCTTTGACAGGGTCCCTCACCAAAGGCTCTGAAGCAAAGTAAGCCATCATGGGATGAGCCTCTCAAGGACTGGTAACTGGTTAAAAGATAGGAAACAAAGGGTAGGAATAGGTCAGTTTTCAGAATGGAGAGAGGTAAATAGTGGTGTCCCCCAGGGGTCTGTACTGGAACCAGTCCTGTTCAACATATTCATAAATGATCTGGAAAAAGGGGTAAAGAGTGAGGTGGCAAAATTTGCAGAGGATGTTGTGAAGGCCAAGACTATAACAGGGTTCAAAAAAGAACTAGATAAGTTCATGGAGGATAGGTCCATCAATGGCTTTTAGCCAGGATGGACAGGAATAGTGTCCCTAGCCTCTGTTTGCCAGAAGCTAGGAATGGGTGACAGGGGATGGACCACTTGATGATTACCTGTTCTGTTCATTCCCTCTGGGGCACTGGCATTGGCCACTGTTGGAACACAGGATACTGCGCTAGATGGACCTTTGGTCTGACCCAGTATGGCCGTTCTTATGAAAGGAAAATGTCTTGGAAAAGAAAACTAAATCCAAAAGCTCATTAATTATTTTGGTTACCCGTACTGAGGTCGCAATGCTTACCTTTATCTGAAATGCCAACACCTTGTATTTCCCATGTAGTCAGAGAATCAGGCAGAGTCACTGAAAGGGTCTTTGATCTACATTACAAATGGTTTTTGAGAATTAGTGAATTTTATAAATTATTATTATTACTTTGTTAATACCAACATTTGGCTCAGCACTATACAACATGCAGGTAAAGACAGCCTCTGCCCAGAGGAGTTTGCAGGGTCAAAGGTTCAGATAAGCTGTACAGGAGACCTAGAGCTGTTGACTTAGAACACAGAACACATTTTTGTCTGATTAGGCTTGGTATTGGTTGGCCTTGCAGAAATCAGAGAGTTTTTTGAACTAATATGAACAAAAAGAGAGCTGGGGCCTGACACTCTGGGAATAGGTGGTCAGTTTCCTGTACAGAGACATAATGGAAAAAATGTCAAGGGGAGTCGGGCCCAGCCTCACCAGTGATTGATCATCTACCTTCCAACTAAGACTGATCAAGTGAATATAAGAGCCAGCAAGTGGCTCAGTTGGGGAGAGGAACTGTGGAAAGGAGGGTGATGTCGCTAGCTGGCACTGAATGGAGAGACGTACAGGGAAAGGACTCTGGGATCCAGCAGCCTACTTTGGTCCAGGGAGTAGCTTTGTGTTCATATTCCTGGAGTGAGGAGACAGGCCACCAGCCTACAGTTCTTATAGTTAAGGGCAGTATCATAATGCATATGCACAAGAGGATAGAATTTAAGTTGCACAGACTATCTTAATTATGGCATTTCCTAACTTTGGAGTGCTTTAATGTTCTCTTAACAATATTTTTAAAAATGGAATAAATATACAATTCTAAGAAACGATATAAGAATTCATATCATGGGAGGAGGGCAGGAAAACTAAAAAAAACCTCTTTAAAAAATATGGTCAGTCTAAAAATCCTGCAAATTCATAGAAACGGTATTTGCCCCCTTGTGAGTCAATATGAACCCTCTCCACTGAGGGTATGTCAACACTGCAAGTGAAAGTGTAATTGTAGCACGGAAAGGCATACCTGTACTAATTTTAATCTAGCTAGCATGGGTATGCCTTACCCATGCTTCAGTTACACCTTCCACAAGGTAGGCAGCATGATCACTTCCCTCAGTCAACAGTAAGGGAGTGAATTAGGGTTTCTTTCTCTGTATTGAGAGAGGCTTTCAATAAGAGATGGATATCCTAGTTCAGAAAATGGGGCACCTCAGATTCTATGCAACAACTGAGCTATTGCAAGTCAGATGACATTAAATGGTTCAGATTATAGTACCCTGGAGGAACTTGGTGGACTTCCCATAACCAGCTTTCAGGGAAGTAGCTACGAATCTCTGCCTTGTCCAATTCCAGTAGAGCCTTAAAATCTGAAAAGAACAAACAAATAAAGCAATTCAGAGATTCCTAAGGCTTTCCACTCACAACCTCAAAAATCACTGTTTTTGACTTCTGTGATCATACAGCCTAGAATCTTTCCTTCTGTTTTTCTTGTTAAAATAAAAAAATGGATTTTAATGTTCTTACAAGAAAGCTGTCATTATCCTAAAACAACTATATACACCCTCATAAATGTATGTATACATTCACAGACAGTTTGAAACTTACGCATTCTTGCCAATATTAAAACTTTGTAGGTCCCACTCTCCCGTAGTTTTGTTGCAAATTCACAGCAATCCTTGAATGCTTTTATGCACCTAGGATGACTCTTAATACGCTCAACTCTCTGACCGCAAGTCTCTTTGAGAGGAGATTCTTTTACTCCACCCATACAGCACTTCCGAATCTCTGGATGCAAATATCTGGATGCTGAAATAATAATAAAATATCTTACATAATCCCTTCCTTGAGATAAAATACTTTTAAACAAATGGCTGTAACTGGTCATAATGAAGTAAATTTTCAATCATTCAGGTAATCATGTACAACCATGATAAAGGTGGAGCTTTCAGGAAGAAATTAAATTTGTCTTTTTAAAAATCCCAGTGTTCAAAGTGACCTCTCCATATTATTGTGAATCAAAATTTTAAAACAAATAAGGAAAAAGGATGGAAATGACATTTCAAAAGAAAAAGTCAGCCACAAAAACCATAACTATGTTTTTCTCGCCTATGTTGCATGAATTGGTGGTCTCAGTCCAATCCTTAATGGATCGTATCCATATTAGAAATGCCACCAGCACAACTGGCAGACCTTGTGAGCACAGAGGCCAAAAATTTAAAGGGCAAAAGGACAAAAGCACTCTTCCACCCCACGAGTAGGTCAAGACTGGGACAGACTGTCATGTTGTTAATTTGTATTGTGGCCATGATTCAGCAAGGAACTTAAGTAATTGCTTAAATTTTAAGAATGCGCTTAAGTCCCACTGACTTCAAGTGAAGCATGTGTTTAAGAGCTTTTCTGATATGGGTCCTCTGACAAATCTGAACAATGACATTGCAATCTAGCTCTTCCTGTGCACACTCAAAATTTAAACCTTCATATTTCTGATTTCTAATGTACAGCCTCTTTTTTTCATATATTCAAGCAAAACTTTTGGAGCACCTCTGTTTTGTATTTCCTCTTCAAAGCTGGATCTTCTTGGTCTTACAATTGCTTTACAACTTTCGTCTGTTAAAAAAACCCCAAGAACATGTTATAATATTTTTTTCCACTAACTCATTCCAGCATTAAAATAAACCAGTGAAAGTATACTATAGGACTGATCCGTGAATTTGGCAAGTTTTGTTTTGCAGAACTACTAACCGTGGTATTTAACCTATCATTTAAATCAGCTTCTATACCAGATGACTGGAGGATAGCTAATGTGATGCCAATTTTTTAAAAAAGGCTCCAGAAACAATCCCGGCAATTACAGGTCATTAAGCCTAACTTTGGTACTGGGCAAACTGGTTGAAACTACAGTAAAGAACAAAATTGTCAGACACACAGAAAGCCTTTGACAAGGTCCCTCACCAAAGGCTCTTAAACAAAGTAAGCAGTCATGGTGCAAGAGGGAAGGTCCTCTCATGGTCAGTAACTGGTTAAAAGATAGAAAACAAAGGGTAGGAATAAATGGTCAGTTTTCAGAATGGAGAGAGGTAAATAGCGGTGTCCCTGATGGGTCTGAACTGGGACCAGTCCTGTTCAACATACAGTAACTCCTCACTTAAAGTCGCTCCGGTTAACGCTGTTTTGTTGTTAAGTTGCTGATCAATTAGGGAACATGCTTGTTTAAAGTTGCGCAATGCTCCCTTATAAAATCGTTTGGCAGCCGCCTGCTTTGTCCACTGCTTTTTCTAATTGCAATGAGGCACTCTAGGCCCTAGAATCTAAGGTATGTGGTTTTTCTACCATAATTACAATCCTTACTGCATTTGTATTTATGAGACAATGATTCCAACATTATTCTTCCTCACTGTATAATTAAGCTCCAACATAATAATTGTGAGCTATGCTACTTGTAGAAAAACAGATCTGAACTTTCATGTGTAAAGGATAAGTACCTGCTACTTTAGAGTCATCTGCATTAGCATTGGTTAGAAATGTAAGCCCAGCTAATCGGAATACATCAACATTGTTCTGCCCTCCTCCAGCACCACATCCAAGATCACTCTTTTCCAAATCTAACAGTACCTGTTGAAAAAAGTAAGCGAGGAGCTAATTTCAATGTGAAATATATTATATGACTGAAGGGAGCATTATGGACCTGTGCGGATTAATAAGTCATTTAGCCAGTAAAATGATATAAGACTGACACAGAAATACATTGTATTCAGTGTTGTTATAGCCATGTCAGTCTCAGGATATTAGAGAGACAAGGTGGGTGAGGTAATATCTTTTATTGGACTGACTTCTGTTGGAGAGAAAGAAATGCTTTCAAGCTTACACAGAGCTCTTCTTCAAGTCTGGGAATCTTACTCACCTTGTATTTAGCTGTGACACTCTGAGGAAAATTGCCAGATCTGAAGATGAGCTCTGTGTAAGCTTGTCTCTCTCACCAACAGAATTTGGTCCTGTAAAAGATATTACCTCACCCACCTTGTCTCACAAAAACACATTGTTATTTTTCTCTTCTTGTACTAAACTGTTGTGTAGTGCTGTTGTAAAATGTTAAACAGCTGCTACCTTTCACCCCTGAGGTGGCATTCTTTCAGCTGCAGGTGAAGTGAATTCTACATAAATCTGTGAAAACAGAAATCCTAGGTTATCTACTGAACAAGAACATTACATGCGACAGCAATATGAGCTCCCACCTTACTACTCTACCAGTGTGGCTTAAAAACCGGACCTGCAGAAATCACTACTAGGACTGAGGAGGGGAGTTCAGTCTCTATGACTATTCAATCATGGAGCTCTCCAAAAACAGAGCCAATCACTGTGGATTTTTTGATGATGAGAACTGGGCTAAGCCCCACAACTCATTTCCATAGGGCAAACAATAATTGAAAGGCAACTATTTTTGATTACTACTGACCTCAGCTGGATTTGAACTAGTAACCTAGAGGTGAAAGGCTCTAAATCCCATCACCAAGCCTTCTGAATGCATGCAACATAACACAAACTTTTAAACTATCACTATATTTTGTGACTATTACTTAACTCTTTCCATAGACTTCTTTCTTGTTCCTGTGATTCCATATATTGCCTTATCGATAGATGACAAAGCAACAAAAGAACTGAACTGGGTTTTCATGTTAATTGATATAACCTTGCGCGGCTTATGAGAGTGTTCGTTTGATAATAACTGAACCTATAAAAGGAAAACAAATATGGGTTACTGTGACGCATGGCAAGAAAGGGTTAAACATCCTGCAGGATAAATGACCCAAATTCAACCTTTAGACAAGCGTTAAGTAAGTAAAAGGTAATTAGGGCCATTCCATGTCAGATAGGCTAGAACTTTGAAATGCAAACCTGTATTGTTAGAAATTAGAGGTGAGACTAATTGTATGTGTGTACTTATATCATGTTAGAGGTTAACAATGTAACCAAACAGTCCCTGTCTATGCTGTATTCTGTTAATTCAGAGATCAAAAGGAAAACTTAACATTTAAATGAACAATAAATATAGTAATATCACTGTATTCATCTTTCTTTGAAATGTCTAGCAAATCACCTGCAAATGGTGGAAAACGGGCAATTGCCTATATAAATCCCTGTAGCTAATTACTAGTGACGCTTAGGAAATAGGTCTACTTCAAAGTTTCCACGATTGCCTATTGTTCACTTAAGGACTCCGAGTTGTCAAGAGAAGGCCTGGAACTGTATAAAGGTCTCTTGGGTCCTGATCATTTTTATCTCAGATCTGCTTGATGCTTCATGCAGGGGGAGCTTGAGTCATAACACTGAGATCTCCAGTCCCATCTGGATCACCCTGAATATAAACACTAGACTATAATCTATGGACTAATTCTGAAAGAACTCTTTGCAACTACAAAGCTCACCATCTCTACTATGAAACTGATCTCAGAACTGTACTCATGTCTGTACGCATACTGCTCTTTTAACCAATACTCTCTCTCTTTTCTTTTTTAATAAATTTTAGTTTAGTTAATAAGGATTGGCTCTAAGCATGTATTTCGGTAAGATCTGGAATATTCATTAACCTGGGAGGTAATGTGTCTGATCCTTTGGGACTGGTAGAATGTATATGATGAATTAGATTTTCAGTAATCCTCATCATATTTGACTTGGGTGTCTGGGTGGAGGTCTAAGACTTTAAGGGTTACTTTAAGGGATCTGTGCAGTTGGCTTCTGGGTAACCAGTAAGGTATTATAGAAGCTGTTTTGTGCTGGTTTGGTAAATCTAAGAATAGGAATATCAACTAGCTTTGGAGATTGTCTGCCCCATTCTTTGCAGTTTGCCTGAATTGAGTAACTTCAGTGCAGCTCTCCTGGGACTCCAGTCACAGTTACTTAAAAAATAATTAAGAGATTTGAAGGCTGACATTAACATGTGGGGAAAACATTAGAGAAACTGTGCAGCTCTGAGGGTAGAATTTTGATGATAAAACAAACGGACCACTTAATTTGAGAATGTTTATGGAACTTTTAATACACCGACTCATACACTCACCTGGAGGCTATTCCCACACTTCTGTTCTATATTCAGCCAAACTGAATCAGCTACTAATTCTGCAGTTTCCTCTCCAGTGACAATGTAGTAGACAAGGAGACGGGCTGAAGGAACCATTTCTTGCGTTAGCTGAAAGTTTAGATTTTCATAATCTGAGCTCATAATCCTCTCCTGAGTTCCAAAACTTACTATTTTCCCTTTGGATAATATCTATAAAATGGGGAGGGGGGGAGAAAACAAAAAAGAAAGAAACTAGTCCCAGCAAGTATTCCTGACTCCCTAGAAAAGTCACTTTGGCAAAGAGAAAGATTGTAGATAATATACTATTTGTGTATCTTAACTGGTGAAAAATAACAAAAAGGAAATTAAAAAAGTTAAATCTTACTTTTAGAAATACTTTTGCCCTTTTGTATTGATTTTTACATGAACTCAAATCACTTTGTAAACATAAATTAAGCCTCACAACAGCATGTAAAACTGGCAACTTTATCTTGAATTCAGAGCATACGAAGAATCAAGCATTTGAGATGTTTAATGTAGTCTACCTTAAATTAATGTAAAAGAGAGTTGTGTCAATTGAAATAGTATTGTTTGTTTTAATATAAACAGATTGTAATACAACTGAAGTAGCACTTTTTTATACTGTACATCGTCCTATAAGCCCTCAGATACAATGTAATAGTGTACCTGAAAAAAATGAGGAGTCTAATATATCAAATATTTGCTGGCAGTGTGGGGAAGTTTATCTTCCCCTGTTCAATGGACCAAATTTAGACAGTGCAAGGAAAAGGACATAACTCCCCATTCCCAAACAGAAGTGGATATGCATTGCAAATGCTGTCTTGATGAGTGCCCATAATCTTGCCCATAATCAACCATATACATACACACACAGCGCTACTGAGAAGATTCTTGGTGCTGGGATCATGAACTATTTCCCTACATGAGTGTATGACTTCCAAGAGAAGTAAGCATGTGTCTTAGTGTTTGCTGAATGACGGTCTTCAAATCAGGAAACTGTTAAAAAATCAAGTCTACAAGCCCTTTGCTGCTGCCCACTGCTGCATTTTTGAAATGTTGAAGTTCTGTGGCACACTTACTTCACAAGTTTCAGAGTAGCAGCCGTGTTAGTCTGTATTCACAAAAAGAAAAGGAGTACTTGTGACACCTTAGAGACTAACGAATTTATTTGAGCATAAGCTTTCGTGAGCTACAGCGTACTTGAGGCTGCTGACAAGCAATTAACACAATGCTGATACAAATGCAGACTGATTTTTCCTCTCATTTTTACAAGTTCTCCCCATGTCAAAATTAAGGTGTAATACAGGAGCAATGGGGGAAATGTGTGTCGCTGTCCGAACAGACCCTGTTCCGCGGTTAAATATAGGACTTTGATTTCTCTGGTGTTGTCGATTTGGCACCTTGTACTAAATTACAAAACAATGTTTTAATGTGAAAATACATCTGTTACTTACCAAATAGCTGTAGCAATGTATTTTATGAATATAGTGGCTATGTGGATACACTTTAATGCTTATATAATCCCCCACACGTAGTAGTTTATAGTTTGAAGCCCAGTCAATGTACAGATAACTTTTGCTGAGCGATGAGTATGCTTTTGCTTCATAGTTTCCAGTAGCCTGATTTTCTTCTGATAGACTTGCATCTGCAGTTTTTAGCTAAAAATTATATAAAGTGCATACAAAGATTTAATACCAACAAACATTCTGATAATGTTTTGTACAATGCCTTTTATCCAGCATCTAAAAGCTCTTCGTCATTAATCAAGTAAACTTCACAATAGCCCTGTGAATCAGGAATTATTAAAGTCATTTTGTAAATAGGTAAACAGAGTCCAAAAGAGGCTCATGGCTTGATTTCAAGAGAACTAAGCACCCACAGCTCTCGAGTCAGTGATAAAGAAAAGATCACAAGTCAGGCATGCTGACTCCCAAATGCATTCTTTAATTATGAAATTATACTTCCTCCTATTAAATAAATAATAAAATTAAAATTTAATATAATACGTATACAGGATGGATTAAGTCATGATAAAATGACAGCCAACTCAAGCATTTGTCTGAAATTTACCTCTGCACATTCTGGTTTCAGATAGATGCCGAAATCCCAAAATACCATCTTGTCCCTCTGAGATGGTCAATGAACAATTAACAAAGGGAAATTCTATGAGAAAGCCTGCTTTGAATAATTTCTAGGCCGAGATAAATTGGTTCATGTACATTTGGATAACCAGTATCTGAAGATTTTGATGTTTGTATGAACTGAACCTTTTGAATTAGGTGATCATCTTTAATATATAGACAAATCAATTTCAACCATTTCACATTTTCTTTTATAAAAAACTGTCAAATCCAAATAAGTAAAAAAACCCAAACCAACAGTAAAGATTTATATATGTATACATATAAGTGGAGAGGAAAAGGTCAACAACATACTGAAAGCTACTGTCATTTTGATTAGACGTCTCCAGAATGAGAAAAAGCACTCTGAGGATTTTTATTGTTAAGCAATTCATTTGGATTTTTTAATTTTCATTTTAAAAGTCTACTGCAACTAATTAGGATACACACCTATATCTGTATTTGGATTTGTTTTGTTTTCATTTTCTCTTTTCCTCACTGTTGTCAGCAAGGGATTAGTTTCAAAATAGTTTAATATACAAGTAACTTTCCTCTAAAGCAGTCGTATGTGGTAGTATTGAATATTTGTCACAATCCCCCTGTTAGATTATAAAATTGTCAAATTTTCTAATCTACTGGTTTCGTGTGTAAAAACTTCCCTTCTGTATTTCAGACTGGCCAAAGTAAACAGTCAGAGAGTACATACTATGCAAGAAATAGAGCAGTCAGAAGAATTTAACTCACTTGAAATTCTAGTGCTTTGCTAGAAGATGGAATATTAACCACAAATAAAGCAGTTCCATCATTCACACTTGTTTGTCTTGTCCCAGCATCTGAGCCTTCTGGTACCAACTCAGTTGAATCCATTTGCTCATCAAATACATTTGCACTGAGAATTACAGGGAGGTTCCCCACAGGCTGGTCCAATGTATCCTTTACCTGAACCTGATCATTAGAACAAAGAAACTTTGCTATAAAAATGCTATTATTCTTTAAATGTGAGCATGAGCAGGAGTACCTTGGCAGAAACAGTCTGTCCACTTGTCACAGTACTTCAAGAGAGTAAATGGGCAGGCAGATCTCAAGTAACATCCATTAAAAAAAACATTATATATTATAGCATACAATCATATTGCTTATGTTAACTAACCTTGATGAAGAATGGAAGACCAGGCTTCAAAAACAGAGGCGTAGCTACCAAGTTCAATTTGTAGGGAGATAGCGCATATCTGACTCCAGCAAATTCACTTTCTTCACTAAGTCCACCTAACAAAAAAATATTTTTCTTTTGAGAAGTGTCTTCCAGGGATCCCATTTTCTCCCTCAGTAGTCCTGTGTCATGGCAACCCAACCATTTGTTATACTCAGGCCTGAGGAGTCTTTGCACTCAAGGATCAAACTTTTATCAATATGAAATTAAATTAATAAAAACCTTAAACGCTTTTTAAAAAACATGTAAAATTGTGCTGGTGATGTTAAGTCATCCTTCTCATATCCTTTTGGTAAAGGAGATTTCTGAACACAAAAGAAGATCTTGGGCCAGGAACCATGCCTAAACTTTGTATTTTATTCAGATTTTCACATAAGTATGTTCAAATGAGGGACAAAAAAACCAAAAACCCTACCTGTAGTTTCTAGCACTGTTACAGCAATATACAGGTATGACCCATCTAGCTCTTCTAGGCTTTGGTAGCCTATTTCCTTAACTGCATTTTTACTATTAAAATCGACCTCTGCAACTCCATCAACTATCTGGTAATAAAACAAAAATAAAGATAAACAAATTATGCTTCTGTACATAGTTTAAAAATAATCTCCAAAGGCATGGTGTACAGTGTCTGTCTCAGATGTGGACATGCACAAAATCTGTTTACAGCAGAGACCAAGGATAAAAAATTCTAACAAAGGAGAACAGAGTTACTCCCCTGAAAATTAACCAAGCGATAGTAGATGTTCCAAGTTGTGTCCCTGAAGCCAGCAAGAACTAAGAGCACTACATATCCAAGCAATCTTCTCTGAGAGCCTTCCTGTTCCATGAGCAAAGGAAGAAAGAACGCAAATGATTCTGGAAGTGCACCAAGAGCTAAGTAAGTGGAGGGCTTTGGTTTTGTGGAACACTGGTCCACCTTCTCTGAGGAGAGGAGGCTGTATACTTTGGATGGTCTCCACCTCAATAGAAGGAAGACCAATCTTCTCAGTGATAGGCTGGCTGGAGTAGTCAGGAGGAGGTTAAATTAATAACAAAAGGGAAAGATAAGATATGAGCACTCAGCACAAAAATCAAAATATTGAGAACAAAATTAATCAAGGAACCAAAGCACATCAAGAGAAGAAATTTTTGAATCGCCTATACACCACCGACAGGAGCCTGGGAACAAACAAGAGGAATTGGAATTGCTTATTTATAAGCATAAATTTAATCTCGTTGGTATTACTGAAATCTGGTGAGATGATTTGGATGACTGGAATGTTAAAATCAACAGCTATAACCTATTTAGGATCAAGTGGGCAAAAGGGGAGGGAAAGTGGCACTCTAGGCCCAGGCCGCAGTGGGAAACTGCAAACCCTCCACCCGCCCAGGGCCGAAGCTCGGGGTGCCCAAGAGCAGCCCCCAGCCCATGTACATAGCCCCGGGTCACGCCACCCAGGGCAGGTGGAGGGTCTGGGGTCCCCACAGCAGCCCAGGCTCCCTAGGCAGCTTTTACTATGGGCTGTCTCTGGCTTCTGGACTGGACAGGGGGTGGGGCCTCAGGGGAAAGAGGAGCAGCAGAGGGTGGGGTCCAGTGGTGGGCCCACCTCAGCCCCCCCTTCGGAAAGGCTGGTGCCACTACCAAGGGCTGCACTTCATGGCAGCGGAGCTGATCATCTTATCATCTGATCATCTTATCCCCTTTGCCCCTCCCTCCCCCATTCCGGAGCCCCTGTCTCGAGAAGGAATACAGAGGTTATTCTACCTCTGTATTTGGCAGTGGTGAGACAATTATGGAATACTGTGTCCAGTTCCATTTCCCACAATTTTTAGAAGGATGTTGATAAATTGGAGATGGTTCAGAAAAGAGTGACGAGAATGATTAAAGGATTAGAAAACATGCCGCAAAGAGCTCAGTGTATTTAGCTTAACAAAGAGAAGGTTAAGAGGTGACTTGATTACAGTAGGGCTCTTCAATCTAGCAGAGAAAGGTAGAACATAATCCAATGGCTGGAAGTCAAAGCTAGACAAATCTAGAGAGGATGTAAGATGTAATTTTTTAACAGTGAGAGTAATTAATCATTGGAAAAAACTTACCAAAGGTCATGGTGGATTCTCCATCACCAATAATTTATTAAATCATGACTGGATATTTTTCTAAAATATCTGTTCTAGAAATTATTTTGGGAAGTTCTATGGCCTGTGTTTCACAGTAGGCCAGACCAGATGATCCTGGCCTTGGAATCAATGAATCTATGCAGAGGGGGAATCATCATTCACTCAAGGGAGACACCGATTTGTGTCACGACTGAATGACTGAGCCAAAAAGCTAGACTAACCTGAGAGGAGAAGGGTGATTCCAAAGGACACCCGGTAAATTTGGAGTTGTCTAGGTCTTGTTAAAAGATTAATATTATTACAATTAATTCTGTATTGAATTTCCTTCATTTGCTTTTTAATCTTCAGTGTAAAAATTATTTCATGGAAAGTTATAGACATACATTATTTACTTAAATGGCCAGTTGAGCCAAACTGAAACTGCTTTCTGTCTGTCTGAGACATCGTCCACTAAGTTTCAGTCCAAGGTGAAGTTTTATGCCTCTGATAACAGCAGTTTTAATGGATGTTAGAGATGTAAATAGAGTTTAAAAATAGTAACCGTTTAACCTATTAAAATTCTATTGGTTACATGGTTAACCATTAAGGAGTTCACATAGGTGGAGAACTAGGGGAAAGGGGGTGCTGCAGCATCCGTTTTACGCGGGGCTCCGCTGCCGCTTGCACCCGGCATCCCGGCCCAGGTCTCTGCTGCCTCCCCGTGCCTGGGATCCTGGCCCCGCCAGCCACCTCCCAGAGTCACAAACGCAAGCCTAGCCCAGGTCTCTGCTGCCTCCCCGCGCCCAGGGTCCCGGCCACCAGACCGCACCCAGGGTCCTGGCTGCTGGGACCCCGGATGTGTGTGGGGGGGGCAGCGGAGTTTAATCGTTAAGACCGATAAGACTGTGCTTATTGGTTAACCAGTTAAACTTTTACATCCCTAATGGATGTGTTGACTTTGAATAACTGAGAATGCAAACCATTGCACTGGCCTGCAAAGGCCTGCTCCAACTCCCATTCAATTCCATGGAAAGACTTCAGTGGAAGCTGTATCAGGCCTGAACTCAATAAAAATGGCTTAGCTTCTTCTTACCTCAGTTACGTGCATTGCTTTTTTCATCATCCTTTTTTCAGTTCCTTCAATTATTCCAAAACGCATATAAACATCTGCCCTGGTGACCTTCTTGTTATAAAAATACCTTGCAAACAATAAAAATACTCCTTTAAAGTTGTTACTGCAATGGACGCAGAAAAGCTGAACATAAAATATCATATGCACTTATTTTTAATAAGCAGTCAAGCTCTGAACAACAGGTGGCATGGAAAAGAGATGGTCTTGTATGTACTCTGTCAAACCCTCTGACTAACATACAAACCACTGCTGATAAGTATTGAAGGAAAGTGCAGCTATTCCTCTTCCACTGCAGAAAGGACTTCAGTGATATGACTTTTTGAGGAGAAGGTAGGAAAAAGATGGGAGGACCTCTCAGGTACATCTAGCCTGCAGCTGGGGCCATACCTCTCAGCCTGGGTAGATAGACATGCTCTACCTCTGCTCAAGCTAGTGAACTAAAGATAGCAGTGTGGACACTGCAGCATGCGCTTGCCACATAAATATCGATCCAGCAGGTCAGGCAGGCTTGTACTCCGGTGGCTAGCCCCTGCTGCAACATTCATGCTGCTATTTTTCGTGCACTAGATTGAACAGAGGTAGCACGTTATCTACCCAGGCTGGGCGGCATGCTCCCTGCTGATGTGTAGACATACCCTTAGAGACTGGGGGATTCCTTCCATTGAAGCAAAGAAAAGACAAAAAAAAAATTAAAATCAAGACCAAATCTCCTTACCTAGCTTTAATAGTAATCCTGAATGTCTCAAATTTCTCAGAACTAATTATGTTATTTTCTGGTTCTATGGAGATGAAAAAGCTTGGCATTGCTGAAAATTAAGCAGAAAGTTAAATATAACAACTTAAATGTAATTTTAAATATTAAGCAATAGCAACATGAAAAGATGTCATTGAAAATGGTCCAAAGATTCAAAAGTATGTTTAAAAAGATTTTAATTGCATACTTAAAGGGATTAAAAAATACGGCTATTACTTTCTTATTTAATATTCAGAATTGAAAAACCCAGGAACAATCATATATTACCATATTCTTTGACTTCAAATTTTGCAACAGCAGAAGTTGTGAAACTCTTTTTGTACTTGGCTTCAATCTTCCAGACACCATACCTATAAAAAAAAAAGACGTTTTCAAGATGAGAATTAATTTTGTATCCAATAATATAGTTTTTAATAATATAGTTAATAACTCTAATTTAGAGACTGCTTCAATAAATAATCTACAGTTTTGTGTGGTTTTTGTGAGAGCAAAGCCTGCACAAAGCTGCACATATGTTCCTATCCTAGTCATGCAGGCAAACTTTGACTATGTTCCTTTTTAACCCATGTACTACAACTGCATTGTCTTCAGTAAAGTTGTAACAAGGGTTAGTTACCATACATTAGTTTAAGATAGGTTAAAAGTACTTCTTTCCACAGCCTTAAGATTTATCTACACTAGATTTTTTATTTAGAGTTGGCTGATTGCTAATTAACTTGAGGTAGTTTTAATATTTGTAATGGCTAGTGTGGACACTCCCCAAATGCTTGCACTTTATCCTGGAACAAACATTTGGGGTTAGGGCTGGACCAACGGGTATGTGTTAAACTGTATCTATGTCTACACCAGGAAAATGTGTATTGTTAACACATGTTAAAATCCTAATGTAGATAAGGCAAGTTGTAGTTATAACATGGTAGCTGGCTGAGATGTTAAAAATACACCTTTTTTCCTCATGATGACAAGGTCTGTGTGTTGATCTACTAATAAACAGCTCTTGTAGAGACTGCATCTTAAACTGCAAGCTGTCAGTTTTGGGTTAAAAGTGTTAGGAAAAGATGTATTTTTAACACGTTTTCGGATCAAGGATATCCTCCAAAGGGGACTTGTACAACTCCAGTGGGTCTGGTACATGTCTGGGGCTCGCAGACACTAACACAATATAAACAAATAATTAATAATAATAAGTACCGTAGAACCTCAGTTATGAACACCTCTGAACTGGAGATTGTTCATAGCTCAGAAACGTTTGTAACACTGAACAAAACGTTATGGTGGTTCTTTCAAAAGTTTACAATTGCACATTGACTTAATACAGCTTTAACCCTCAATTTAAACAAAACAAGCACAGAAACAGTTTCCTTACCTTGCCAAATCTTTTTTTTAAACTTTCCCCTTATTTTTTTGTAGTTTACATTTAACACAGCACTGTACAATATTTGCTCATTTTTTAAGTCTCTGCTGCTGCCTGATTGCGTACTTCCGGTTCCAAATGAGGTGAGTGGTTGACTGGTCAGTTTGTAACTCTGGTGTTTGTAACTCTGAGGTTCTATTGTACATAAAATCAGTGCCTGAAATCACTGGGGTTTAGGTTCCCCAGTCCAAACGATGTAAGGCTACTGTTATGAGAAACCCAAGACCTGACAGGGATGTGAATTCAGTTTTTTTTAAATAACTGAAAATACTGTTCACTTTTTCTAGGGGAAAAAAAATCAGTTAAAACACTCTCCTCTAAATCTCCACTCGTACCACTTTGCCCACCCAGTGTACTTGCAGCATCCCCTACAGGATTCAAGGAAAACGAGGAGGCATTTATTTTGGATCTATTCTTGCCATATAATATCTTTCTAACCTTACTACACACACACACAGATTATATAGAGAAAAAACAACAACAAATTGCCTGTTTAAATGTTCATACAGTTACTTTCAAACTATAACTAGCACTAGTGTTTGAGTGTATCTAAAAGTTCTCACTCCTGGAAATAGTTGGGTCTTTGACCTCATGCCTGAGTCGGAGTGGAGAGAAGTCTATAGTTTTTTAAAATTTTCTCAGGCATTGGAACATGATAGGCCTATCATTGTGCTATAACTGCAGCTTTATACATCAATATCTTCACCTGCCACTTCTCCCTACTCCCTTTTCCACTGTGGCATTTTCCATATATATCAGAAAGACAAGGAAGTGCGACTCCTATACGGCTACCGTTAATGCTGCTTTCTCATTTGACTGATAGGAAGAGAGCATGGCTATTATTACCCTTATAGCATGGCTGATATACACAATACCAAGAACTCCACACATGCCTCTCCTCCTCCTCCCCTTCCCATTTAGCAGATCCCCCTCCTAAGTACATTTACGCACATGCCCCCCCAAAAATGTAGAACTAACATGACATTTGCTGCCATCATATAGTTCACTCTGCTTATGATACAGCCATTCTCCCACACAGTCTGTCTTGTCTATTTAGACAATATTGGCTCATTATTTGCTTGTACTTCTGTCTGTAGCCATCTGTGGTCTCTTGTCTTATACATAGACTGTAAACACTTGGGGACAAAGACTGTCTTTTTGTTCTGTGTTTGTACAGAGCCTAGCACAGAGGGGATCCATGTTTTGGGCTCCTGGGAACTACAGTAATACAAATAATAAATAATAACAGTAATAATAAAAATGACTAGAAATTTCAAGTTCCATGTAACTCAAGTCCCCTCCATATCAGCAAAATGCAGTTTCAACGTTTTTGAGAAATGGCATTAAAACAAACTTAAGTCTACTTAGGATTCGAAGGAATCTTGAAGTCAGGAAAAGATATAATTCCAGTAAAGTCTTCCTCTTCCGTAATATCCACTTTTACTCCTTCTGGATCCTTTAGATCAAAACAGAAAAACAAAAAACAAAAGTTACAGACAGGTGAACATCACATGCTCATATGGCACATTTAGAGGAGAGTTAGTCTTTAGTGACTTCAGTGGGAGCATGATCAGGCTCATTTTTTCTTCAGATTTTGTCCATTTCACAGAACAGAAAACAAACCTTTTTCTGAAACAATTCCTATGCTGAAACTGCACCTTAATTTTATAGACTCTTCACCAACATGTAGAACTCCTCAGCCTGATGCATTGAGATTTTAACGACACAAAATTAAGACCTAATTCCGAAAAACAAATGCATATGAATAATTTTACACACAAGGGTAATCTCAATGATATTAATTGGACTGCTCCCAGGCATGAAGCTAATCATGTGCTTAAATGTTTTCAGGATCATGCCCTAACTTTGAAATTGAATCCTCTGGTGAAATGTGTGATACAGGAGTTAAAACAGCAGTAAACTGTGAACTTGGGAGTGACTAACTCACCAGAATTTGAAACTCTGGCAAAACATCTGACTGGTGCTCCAATAATTAAATGAATTTAAAAGATAGTGATCACATGATGCTCAATATTATCACTATTATATTACTGTGGTAATGACACTAAAGCTAATATTGAGACTATTGATTCCTTTGCATTTGAAATGAAAGAAATGGCAACACCAAAAACAACTTACATGCAATGAAAGCTCTCCCACAAAACCTTTCTTTAGAGATAAGTGGTAAATCAATTTTTTCCACTGAGGCTACTCTTGAGATAAGACTTACAAAGCTCTGTCCAACTGTGCTAAGTCACTTTTAGGACTTCTAAAAGGTTATTAAATTGCAATAGCAGTTTCCTGACAAGCACTGTTAATTTTTTAAATATGTGGAGATCAATCATTTTTCATACTATAGCAGTGGTTTACTATTGAACTATAGTCTCTTTACGGTCTCCAAAATGCCAGCATTATTAATTAAATTAAATTGCAACAGACTCACCACAAAAGTTAAGACAGTTTCTCTTCGGGCTGGCTTCAGTTCTTCATTCAAAGAATAAACCCTGATTTTCACTGTAAGAATTATTTATAATAAATTTTAAAAGGTTCAAGTAACCTTAAGCTTCTATACATATTTATTCCTAAAAATCTTCAGTATTAAAGGATATTCTTGATTTGTTGCATATCTGTAACCCCCACTACAGAAATACATTGAGCCATTTATTCATGCTATCAACATAGACAGATTTTGTATTGACAACTGCTTCAGATTAAATCATTAAAATCCATAATAAATTCTTTAACTTCCATGATCCAGCATTACATTTTTCTGTGGGACGAAACTACTATAAACTCAGTCTTGACAAAGACAGTAATCCAATTAATTTTTTTCAATGAAGTATTTCTTCAATAATATTTTTGAATATATTTTCAGCAAAGATCTTTCTCTTGTCCTATGTGCCTCAGTTTACACATGTGTTAAACACTTCATGGTGTAAGGTGGAGAGTGGGAATGAAGGAAGGAATTTTGCAAGAAATAATTAGTTCATAAAGTGCTAACACACTGCAAATTATTATTTTGATGTTCAAATAGACTGTCTGCTTAGATAGCAAGCAACTGGTGAAAATCCAGCAATGTGGTTGATCGTTTAAAGTAAATTTAAATCCTAATTCCTTGGCGACATAGACTCACTTTAAAGCTTTAAGCCAAACAGAAGAAACAGACATTACTGTACCTGACTGATCAGGAGTATAAATGGGTTTGTCCGTCTGAATAAAGAGAAATCCATTTTTATAGGTAACTGGCATTTTTTTCTCTCTTGTAAAATGTGAAGAACTAGCTTCCAGATACACATACAGGACTGAACTCACTGATCCTAGCAAATCTTTCGGTTGAATCTGCCAGGGATTGTGGGGAGAGACAAATAAATATTGGTAAATATTAAAATAATCAAACTATGGCTTTCCCCTGCATTTTTTGTTGAATAGAATATCTGAACGATAATTAGCATTCTGTTGTTAATTATTTACTAAATACATTCATCAACACCAGCATCATGAAGGAATTTCTTCTCCATGTTCACAATGTATAAATGGTCATGAGCTCTACATTGTGGTTCACTTTTTTCTGAGGCACCATTTACTGGCCATTTCCAGAGGTAAAATACATGACTAGAGGGACCTACATACAGTTACTGTATAACTCATTCAAATTCCATTTCACTCCAAGGGTGAAATCATGGCCCCATCAAAGTTAATGGGAGCTTTGCCATTGACTTCAATGGGGCCTTAATTTCACCCCTAAACTAGTCAGCATGTTTCCTTAGATTGAGCACACAACTAATCAATCTTTTCCATACTCATTGTTTGTTCCTTATTTAAATTTTCCTTTTTTTCCTTGTTAAAGGTTTAATTAGTAGGATGCTTTAGTATCTCTAATACCATTAGTTCAATAAAAAATATAGAACACGTCTGTCTGGTCCATGGAAACAAAGAACATGTTTGGATAACTGATGTGATCATCAGCATGATAAACAGACAATTGAGAGATATGACCATAGGCATTAAAGATAATTAAAGCAATATTCTTTTGGAGCAATGATTCCTATACTAAAACTAATTGTTTTTTATATTAAAACTTGAACAAACCTTTTTTCTTGCTGATTTTATTTCCTTGGGCATAACTGCATCAGTGAAAGAAAGGGTGTGACTACACTACAGAAAAATGTCACTTTGAAAGAACAAAATTATATTTATACTTTTTTTAATTATTTTTGGCACCTTATTCTCCACTCTATTATACCAGTTTTACACTTTCATAGTGGAGGATTTCAAAAGAATTACACTTACACAAAATGGGTGTAGCAGACTGGAGAATCAGGCCCTTTCTCTTCACAATTAAAGAAACTGGATACTTGTCATAGTGGAGTCAATCCAACCTATTTTTACAGTCAAATGCAAGATAAGAGAGAACAAGAACTGTTTTGAATACATACTGTTAAGGTTACAGAGCCTTGGAATTTGTTGGCTGGAGATAATTGGGTGTGGCCAGAAGCATAAGTAGTACGCTTATCTGGAAAACTTTTAATAGAGATGCTGACAGGAAACGCAGTCTCATATCCAAAAGCTTGAATTACCACTTTCTCCGATGCTAAAATACGGAAGATCTTTGGTGCTGTAATAACGTATCTATAAAATTTAAAAAAATCATACAGACAATGGAACTGTCAGTTTCTTTTGTACTTATTTTCATTTTAAATTAACTTAAAGGTATACAGTCAAAGCTGACAGGTTACAGATCTGATCTACTTCTATTTATACTAACATTTTCTATTAAAAATGTTTCCTGGATAGTAAAAAAAAAAATACAAAATGGGGATTCAACAAGAGAACCATATTTATGAAGAGTTATCATTTCCTTCAATAGGTGCCTGGTTATGGGAAGTTCAGTATGCTTATAACCCAGTACACAGTTAGTTCTTTCTAAAGAGAAACCCCTGACACAATTCTAAAGTTCACCCCTGCTATCAAACAAAGCCTAATCCTTGTAATCAGAAGATCTCAAAATTGCAGTAGATTCTATTAATTATAGACAGGAACAATGTTTGAAAGGCCGATCTCCTGATAAACATGTTTTTAAAATGAAAATTGTTTTTTGTGATAGAGAATCCTTCAGTGCTTTTGAGAAAGTAGATTGTATGTGTGTCAGACAAAACTCTTCTGATTAGAACTCTCTTTGTTTCAAGTGAATATGTATTGAGGTATTTAAAATAATCTAGTAAAATAATAGGGGCAAAACAACCTCAAACAAACCCCAGTCCTATCCTGTGAAAACTTACACACGATTACCTTTACTATTTTGAGTACTCCTGTCGAAATCAACGAAACTATACTTGAACGTGTACATAAATGTTGGCAGAATTGGTACCTAAATTCATATAGTTCTTTTTAAATTGGAACGGCTATCATTGCAGAGCAGCACATACAGCATTCAATGTATATAATCACAGTAAGTCTGTTTGTTGAGAATACTTCTGAAGTTTGTTGAACAAATATTCTATGCATGTGCAGTAGTCATCTCCTTTGTTTTAAATATCAAAAGCAGCTGGATTCTCTGCTTTCTAAATTTTTTTTTGTAGTTATAAGAAGTCAGATAAACACTACAGTGTATTATTTTTAAAACATATTTAAATAACAGCTTACAAATAAGAGTGCAGTGAAATATGTTTCCATGTACTTTAGACAGTCAGGCAAACATTATTTTTAAATTATTTAAAATTTGCAGCACCCTGGGATCATTCTCCTGTCAACACAGGCAGAACCACCAATGCGCATGAAGAGATGAATATATCCCTTTGGGTTTGTGACAGCAAATAGAGCCCAATTCCGCAGTCCTTTCTTAGGCAAAACTCCAACTCAAATCCGCGCTCTGACTGAGCAAGAACTGCAGAATCAGGCCCACATAATGCCTTTTGTGTTGTTTGATTGATGGCTATCATCATCAAGCAATATTTCCAGTAAACACACCGTGTTTTACTTACGTTTGCTCCTGACTCAAACTTCTTCCACAAAAAGCCAAAATACAAATGAAGCTTAAAATATTCATGATTGGCACAAGCATGAAACCAAAAACCCTAGTGAAACTTTGGTGAAAGGGTATTTGGCTTCTGCTTCACTCAAGTACGTTTGTGTTATCTGTATTTATCTAAAGATTAATCATTAATATCAGATCTCTGAAAATACTGCTTTACTAAACACTACTTCCTCCCTCCCTATCTTATGGCTTTGAAGAACGTCAGCACAACTAAACCCCCTAATTTAGGCTTCATTCTGCTTTTGATCTGTGCACAATTACAGGGATATCAACATTTTCAGAAAGGAATGTTTTGATTGTTTAATTTAAAAATGACATTTGGTTTAGAAATTTATATTATAAAAAAAGTCAAAATCAGAACAAAAATGTTTCAGTTAACCTGAAACACATTTTTTAAAATTTCATTTCTTTGGAAATTTTGAAATTTGACATTCTGTTCCAATTTGGAATGAACACAAATTTGGAAATCACAGAGTATCCCACAGAACAGAACATCTGGGTCCCACGCAGCTCTCGTAATTTATTACCAATAGCTACTTTTGATTGCCACAGAATCTGAACACTGTCAATTGTCTTATTCTGCTGACCTTTCCAAAAATATAACCACCAAATGAATGGTGTACCGCACAATGAAGAAGATTTACAGAAAGAGTTCCTTACACTGAGCAATGAACTTGATTAGGATGAAGGAAACAGTACTATCAATCAAGCTACTCTGTATCAATTTCACCGTAGAACTTCTGCCAAAACCAGTGGTGGGCAACCTGTGGCCCGCGGGCTACATGCGGTCCATCAGGGTAATCTGATTGCGAACCGCAAGACATTTGCTGACACTGACCGTCCACAGACATGGCCCCCTGCACCTCCCAGTGGCCGCGTTTTCAGTTTCTGGCCAATGGGAGCTGCGGAGGGATTGTGACTGCGGACAGTCAACGTCAGCAAAATGTCTCGGAGACTGCAATCAGATTATCCCGACGGACCACATGTGGCTTGCAGGCCGCAGGTTGCGCGACACTAGTCTAGACCCTTCCCAAGCCACCTCCTCCTCCAAATGTAAATGACAGTGCATGTATCCTCATATCACCCTTTTTCCTATTAACAATCAATCTTAAAACAAAAAATAAATATATATCAACAAATTAATGATTCAGCTGAGTCAGCAGCTTAAAAACTTATCTGTATTTGGTCATCTCCTCGCCTTGAGGCAGTTTTGTTCGGTTTATTCAATGGTAGTATTAAATCCTAAAGGTGTAGATTGTGACAGATATGGCAGTTCCTGCAATATCTTTGGGAGATTTTCCTGTATTAAGCTTTGTATCATTGCAAGCCAGGGACTGTATGTAATTCCGTGGGGGAGGAGTACCACAACCCTCCAAGAAATAGGAACAGTGATGGGTGATTAGGCAAATTCACTCAGGTTGTAACACCTCCCAAGAGGCACCACCACCAGGAGAGACTTGCATATACTGTCAAGTATCAGAGGGGTAGCCATGTTAGTATCTAGCCACAAAAACAACAAGAAGTCTGGTGGCACCTTAAAGACTAACAGATTTATTTGGGCATAAGCTTTCGTGGGTAACAAACCCACTTCTTCAGTTGCACAGAGTGAAAATAACAGATGCAGGCATAAATATACTGACACATGAAGATAGGGGAGTTACCTTACAAGTGGAGAACCACTGTTGACAGGGCCAATTTGATCAGGGTGGATGTGTCAACACCAAGAGAGGTGGTCAATACCAAGAGAAGGAAAATTGCTTTTGTAGTTAGCCAGCCACTCCCAGTCTCCATTCAAGCCCAACTTAATGGTGTTAAATTTGCAAATGAATTGTAGCTCTGCAGTTTCTCTTTGAAATCTGTTTATGAAGTTTTTTTGTTGATGTATGGCTACTTTTAAATCTGTTAGAGAGTGTCCCGGGAGACTGAAGTGTAATTTTCCCCCCCTCACTGCACCGAAGTCTCAGGGTTAGGGTGACCAGATGTCCTGATTTTAAAGGGGCAGTCCCGATATTTGGGGCTTTTTCTTATATAGGCACCTATTAGCCCCCACCCCGTCCCGCTTTTTGACACTTCCTATCTGGTCACCCTAAACAGGGTAGATAAAAGACCCTCAAAAACTAAGTATTCCAACAATCTATATATATAAGAAAAACAGTAAGGCATGTATCTATGCCAACAATCCCAGACCATTGTGATATTAGAGATAACTCAACCAATCATCACCCTACCCTACAGCTAATTTGCATTCAACAATTTCAGTGGTTGTAATGAGTTCATGATCTAAGGAGACTGTATAGATGATGGTTTACTTGCCCAACTGCATGGTTCTTCAAAGGTTAATTTGCCACCCATACAACTCAAAATAAAATCTCACAGCACAACCCCACAGACACAAGTCAACACAACTACCCACACAATACCACTACTATCACACAGAATAAACCCAAAACACATAGCCACTCACCAGAGCACATACTCCTCCTTCATCAGCTTCACAAAACAATACAAATCTCCCATCACAATCCCCTGACAGAACAACACAAATCTCTCAGAACAACTCCACACATATAAATCAACACAACCACCCACAGCAGGATCAGCACACACAATAATCCCTCACCACAGTACACACATCTCATTCGCCACTTACACAAATCAAAACATGTCTCCCAGCGCTACACATGTGCTCCCCCACCCTTGCTCATACTTACTATAAAATCATACATTTGACCTGTGCCTTTGCTGCTCATCATTAAAATCCTATAAACATGGATACAGCTTGCAGCTGTGTATACATACTGGTGGCTATTTTAACCAGTTATGATTTCTGTAGCGAGGCTGGCAGGTCACTCAAAAATCATAAACCTGCCCTTCACTCCCTTTCAAGATTGGGTCATCAATACGGAAATCTAGGAAAACAGAGACATATTGTTATGAAACAGATGGTATCTGCAGAAGCGGATGCAGACTTCTAGATGACATAAAATGCTAGTACCAAGGATGACCATGGTCAACATACAGTTTAATTCAGTAATAACTCATTTTATGAATAAGCAATATCATTCAGTTTTAATTTCTAATAATCGCTCTGTCTTGATTTCATCCTAGACATTTTACCAAATTTTCATGTACAAGAGGCAAAATACAGTTGTTATTTGCAAAGTTAGAAATATCCCCACCAGCCAGTGACGGGACTCTGGATGGGAGAGTTGTGAGTTATTACCGAGAATTCTTTCCCAGGTATCTGGCTGTTGGGTCTTGCCAAAATGCTCAGGTCTAACTGACTGTCATATTTGGGGTTAGGAAGGAGTTTTTCCCCAGATCAGATTGGCAGAGATCCTGGGTGGGTTTGCTTTCCTCTGCAGCATGGGTCACTTGCAGGTTTAAACTAGTGTAAATGGTGGATTCTCTGTAACATGAAGTCTTTAAATCATGATTTGAGGACTTCAGTAATTCAGCAGAGGCATGGGTGGTAGGTATAATAGGGCAGAGGAGGCTCTACTGCGACACCCCTGGTTGCAGGGTTTGGCGGTGAAGTTTTTGCTTTATTATGCCCCATGCAGGTTCCGGGGCGGCAGAGAAGGCACATACCACCTCCTCAGTCACCCTGGAATCTACATGGGGCACATCAAAAAGCGTCTTCTACAGACTTTTCCCCTGGGTAGTGGGGGGTTGGGCCTGGGGAGGAGAGGTATGGCAGCGCTGCAGCCAGCCCCAGGCTCCTCCAAGCGGGGGGAGACTTGACCAGCCTGGCTGGGCTCCTCCGGGGCAGGGAAGGGGGGCTTGTGGCTCTGGCCGCGGAGGCTAGTCTCGCGGCTCTGGCTGTGGGGAGGGTGTGGGCGGAAGGGGCAGAGCTGGTGGCTAGCCTCCCCAGAGTGGGGCTCCACCCACCACCCATGGCCAGAGGTTATGGGTCTAAGAGTGGGTGGGCAGGGTTCCGTGGCCTGCAATGTGCAAGATGTCAGACTAGACAATCATGATGGTCCCTTCTGGCCTTCAAGTCTATAAGTCTAAGTTCTAAAGGTGACCTACATCTAAAGTTTCTAAACTAAGCATGAGGAGAAAAATACTTATTCTAAATGGTTGTGGTGAAGACAGAACCTTTACTTGCCAGTCCATCTGTGTGCAATACTTGAGCAAACAAGTCTATAAAACAGTCAAACTAGATAAAAGTTGTGCAAGATTTTGCAAGCTTAAACAAATACTGTAGCCAGTATTTACGGGAAAAGATGTTTACAATAGGTATCTCTGATCAGAATAACATGAAATTATAAAAAGTATAACATGCTACAATTACATTTGCCACAACAAGAGAAACTCTAATAATGCTCTTGGGAGATAACCATTAACTGGAGATAATATTTAGAAGTTATAATATTTTCAATTATTATACAAAAATAAAGCTCATATTACTTATTATTAAGAACATCAAGCCATGATGTTCCATACAATAAACAATAAAAAACACTGATGAACAAATTTTTACAGGTCTGTCTTGTAAAATTTAAATCTTTCAAGTAACTGTTTTTAAATCTAAGGTAAAATCCAATGATACTCCTTTCCCCTCATTTTTTTCTGATTTTGTACCAATGCTTGCTGTAAACTGAATCAAAACACAAGCCTAGCTGATTTTGAAACCAATGTAAAAAAAGTCATGTAGATTATTTTAAATATTGCTATAAACAAGGTAGCAATTTAGGGCCAGATACTGCAATTTGCTCTGCACGGGTAGAATCTTGCATGCACAGCCTCAGTGACTTCAGGATAGAGGTGCAGAACTCCATAAATTGCACAACATACACCCTGGGTTACTTGCTTTTCTAAAGTAATTTTAAAAGTCAAGGGAATAAAACTTTTTTTTACCCAAGTAGCAGGAGACGACAGGGTACTGATGAAGTATAACTACTTATAAAATCTCACTCATCTGAGGTACACTTCCCTCATTTTAGTTAACTTGGAGACTAAAGAAAGTGCTCCATTTTTCTCATGATGAATTATGTTGCATATTTCAAAGTGCTATTTCAAATCACCCACACTACAAAAAGCATCCACCTATAACTTTATAATGCTATACTCAAATGTAACATATTAAGTATGTAAAATTACTTATTACAGAAAGCAACAATTTAAAATCACTTCACTTCGGAGTGATTATTATCAGCTAGACAACTGTTGTGAATTATTCTGGTAAAACAATTAAAAAAATTTCCCTTTTTAAACACAAAACCTGCACTCACCCTACTCCCATAACTAATGCCACTGATTTACTTCAATAAGAGTACTCATGCAAGTAAGGTGAGTAGGATTTGACCCTCAAGGCCAAATTTTCAAAGGTGCTGAGCACTTGCATTTCCCATCGACTTCAGTTGGAGCTGCGGATGCTTGTCACCTCTAAAAGTCAGGCCCAAGCATTAGGAAAAAAGTTTCTTGCCTCCATTGTTGCAGAGAAAATCTTGAAAACATGAACTGAGTGCACCCTAGAGTCTCAGAAACTAGAAGGCAAAGAATATAAGATTACTCCTGAGGGCATTCTGTGCCAAAAAAGTCAAAATTGTGTACACAATATTTTAAAATTCTGCAATATTCTGCAAATTTCGTCAAATAAATATGGATGCTCCAGCATGGCATTGGGGAGCAAAGGCCACTGGCTGCCCAAAGGTGGGAGATCACTGTGCAGCTCCCCCCAGCCAGGACATGGACTCAGTGGTGAGGCTGCACCCAACCCTGATATAGCGTAAGGACCAGGCCTGCCCCAGAAACAACCTAGGGCCCTGCCCCTCCATGCCAGGTGCACCAGCTGTGGGCAGGAAGGCTCAGCAAGACAGGATCCAAGTGTGGAGAGGCTCATTGTGCGGGGATCCAGGTGTGGGTTGAGAAGGTTCTTTGTGGGGCAATCTGGCTGTGGGCAGTTCAGTGTGGGATATAGGTTTTGGGGGGATATGGATGCACAGGAGCTTGTTGGGGGCATTTCTGGGTGCAATGGTAATGGGACTCTGCAGGGTGCCCAGGTGAAGGTGGTTGGGGCTAAGTGGGGTCTGTGGGGGTATAGATCTCAGCAGGGAGGTCTGTGGGGGGCATCAGTGGGGCCATCCAGATGCTGGGAGAGTGGGGCTCATTGGGGTGGGAAACCACATGCAGCTGGTTGGGGATCCATGAGCGAGTGTCTCACCAGGGTGGTCCAGGTACAGGGGGAATGGGGCTCATGGGGAGGGGGTTCTGACTGTCAGGGAGTGAGGCATGACAGGCTCTGGATGCATGGGGGTTGGGTGGATGGAGGAGCCACTCCCTGTATAGGTATCCCTCCCCCTGCAGCTGAGGAGCAATGGGTGCAGGAAGCGAGTGGCAGCAGGGGGAGTTTGCAGAGCTTCTTGCAGCTGGGGGAGAAATATGGGGTGGGTCTGACCCAGTCCCAGATACCATGCAGGGGAAGAGGAAGTCCCATCCTCCCTTGTTGAGCCAGGACTAGATGCTTATCCTGGCACAGGGTAGGAACCACCAGCCAAGTCTTCCCCAGTCCCACCCCTTGCCCCAGTGATTTACCTCTCTGCTGGCTGCCCTGGGCATTCAAGAAATACTGCTGTGGAGGACTGCATGACTGCCTTTGTGGCTTCCCTTTTCTCCCCCTTCAGAAAGTCATTTTTCTATGGGGAAGCAAAGAAATCTGCCAGGGGACATAAATTCTTCACATGCGCCATGCGCCCAGGGGACATAAATTCTTCACATGCGCTGTGGCGCACAATTCCCCCAGGAGCACAAGGTGTATTATGTTTGAAAGATCTCATGGTCATCGCCTGGTTTTTGAATGATGGGGGCTGGCAATTCCTGCAGTCATGGCCCACACGCATCCACCTCTGGGGAGGGCCTCAACAACTCTGCTCAGGATACAGTTGAGAGGGGAAAGGTTGGCCAAAGCTTGAGTGACACCTGCCATTTCAAAAGGCAACGTGGGAATAACTCAGCCTAAACTGGGGCCCAACCCCGCAGAGAGGCACTCGAGCCACATCGCTGCGTCTGCCCTCAGCTGGCGGGAGACGGGTCCTCACGCCCAGGCCCTGATCTGTGACCCTCACTCCGCACTCGCGGCTCCCAGCCGCCAAAGCCCCGCGCCTGACACGCCGCCCCCGCCTGAGATCAAACCTCCAGCAACTCCACCACGCTAACGCGGCCGGGCGGCTCCCCTGATCCCCCCGCCCCGCCCCGGGGCACACCCGGGGCGGGAGCGCCGCACACTGGCCAGCCCGAGCCACGGGCCAAGCGGTGACCCACCCCCGGCCCGGCTCCTCCACAGCGCGCCCGGGCGCCGGAGCGGACAGGGCCTTGGGATCTGCGGCCTCCTCTGAGAGATCCAGGCAGGGACCGCTCAGTTCGCCCGCGTCAGCCCAGGCAGGGTGACAGGCCGGGCCGGACACCGGGGTCCGACACAGAGCCCTGCGGGGAGCCGCCTCAGCCAGAGCCCCTGGTGGGGGTGGTCCCTAAGCCCCGCCCCCTCCCTGAAGAGCCCGCCCCCCTGAGGCAGGGCCCGGCTCCGGCTCCCCCTGCGCCGGGTGGGGCCCGTGCTGGAAAGGGGAGGCTGTGGCCGTTAGGAAGGGGCGCGGCCACGACGGGCACCGCCCCTTTCCCGTCAGCACCAAACCGAAATGGCGATGGCTCGGCTGCCAGCGCCGGGCTCTTAAAGGAGCCGCTGCGCCGTAAGTGTCGCGCCGGCGGGGCGGCAGCCGTCGTAGCGCCCGGCGGGAGGCCGGTTTGGCCACAAGAGGGCTCCAGGCTTGCCCAGGCCCAGAACGCCGGGGACATAGGCGGCGGCGGCGGCGAGGCGTTACCATGTCAACCCAGGTAATCAACGCGGAGCCGTGGGGAACTCCTTGGGGCGGGGACCGGGATCCCCAATCTCCGAGACGAGACCGACCCCCTCGCGCCTCAGATGAGAGGGGCCCGACCCCCATCCCCCCCCCCCACCAGCGCCTCAGGTGAGAGGGGCCCGACCCCCATCCCTCCCCCCCACCCCACCAGCGCCTCAGGTGAGAGGGGCCCGACCCCCATCCCTCCCCCCCACCCCACCAGCGCCTCAGGTGAGAGGGGCCCGACCCCCATCCCTCCCCCCCCACCAGCGCCTCAGGTGAGAGGGGCCCGACCCCCCATCCTCATGTCCCCAGCGCCTCAGGTATTTGGGGACTCCCCCCCCCCCCATGTCCTGGCTGGGTCTCAGAGCCACAGGAAGGGGTGCTGGTGCGCGTAGTGCGTCAGTCAGAGGGTAGCAGAATTGATGTGCAGTTGTCATGTCAAAGTGCCCTGTGAAGTGCCACTTCTGGGAACTTGTTTACTGTGAAGTTGTGTTGTATAGAACTGATGGCTGCCAGGGTGCAGCAATGTGCTGATTATGAAGTCCTGGTGATGGGGTGTGGAGTTACACTGATGTTGTTTTAGTGTGGCGACATGTGGATGTGCAGTGTAAAATCACATGTGCATGTTGTGTTAGTTCATAAAATAAAACAAATAAACCTCTTAATTCCTATCGTCTATGAAGAATGAGCTTCTGGCTGTTTTGGAGCCTTGAGGTGGACCAGAAGAGTGACTTTTATACAATCATGGCAGTTATCATCCCCTTTTGAATGAAGAAGTCTCCAAAGCTTTGTGCATTGTGTCTAGCAAGAAAACCCCACGATAAAGACCATTAATCTTCAAAAGGCAGATGCTCTCATCTTGGCTTTATAAAGAGTGGACCAAAATGTGCTTTTGCCTCCTGGCTTGATTTTGTAAAAATCATTCCACAGTGAGGATGTGGGTTTATGGGCTTCCACAAACAGAAAGAATACATTGAACCTTTAGTTGATGAGTAGAATTAACCTAGAGTAAGTATATTTTATTATGTAAGGCATTTTATTTAGGTACCAGATAATCAAATGCCCTCAGCCTATTATGAATATTAACTGCATTGGCTTGCAATCTACTTCCAGATGCATTAAAGTCAGTGGAAGTAGAAGTATCATAGAATATCAGGATTGGAAGGGACCTCAGGAGGTCATCTAGTCCAACCCCCTGCTCAAAGCAGGACCAATCCCCAATTTTTGCTCCAAATCCCTAAATGGCCCCCTCAAGGATTGAACTCAGAACCCTGGGTTTACCAGGCCAATGTTCAAACCACTAAGATATCCCTCCCCCCCAATGGAAGTAGTGTGTGTTTAGTGGAGGGTCTCCATTTGAGGAATTTCTTCTTCCTGCATTGTGGTTCATCAGGACCCAACTTTACTAACTATTAGAGAATGGGGTAAGATACATCTTTTTTTCAAGGATTCTTGCTGAAGAGCTTTTTCTTAGGGTAGGATGGCAGAGAGGAGATGAGTTTTTTTTTACTCTTTATTGTGTGCCATCTAAATATGGCATTTTGGGAATTTATATCAAACACAGATGCCAAGACAATGTGTGCATAAACATAATTAAATAAAACAAATATACAGTATTTCAGTTTACATCTAAACAGTTTCAGTAAGATTTATGTACATGTACAGTCTATGACAATCTTGAATATATATATATTTTTAGTTTTACAGATTTTTGCCAGATGACTGACTGCGTTCTGTGCAATGAAGAAAGGGTCATTACAAAGAACATCACCCAGAAAAAGACAGATATCACCCTCTCGTACGCCTAGTCCAATGTTGACTGTCACTTCAAGTAGCAGGTCACCATCTCCTCTTAGCAGGCAGGGCACACCTGCAACTTCCAAAAAAAGGGGACAGAGGTATCAACAGCTTGATGTTACAGTAGAAAGTGATGTAGGAGCTTCTTTTGAATATCAGATTGACAAAGGTATTGTGTAAATAATAAGAATCGACCCTGAATGCATTTAATATTGGCAGAATAAAATTAGCTACATGTCCATCTATTATAAGGTGTATTAAAGGGTCATTGTCACATATTTTAGACCCCATATTTAGCCTACCCTATAATAAATTGTCTTAAATTGCTTAGGCATCATCCAGATTCCAAATATCGACATTATATATTTCTGATTTTAAACCCCTAAGAACTGTTTTATACAGAGCATACCCCCTCAGGCAGCAGAGGGGGCATAAATTAACCGATTGCCCCTAATCCTAGACCTGTACATTATCATCAGTGAAAGGTGATGTACAAATATAACTGTAAACAAGACATCTTTGTTTCAAGTTCAATTGGAAATCAAACAGCTGGAGAAAGTCAGTATTTACTACATACACAAGATTAAATTAAAGGGACACTGATATATTAAAAATACATATGTAATAAGCCAATGAAAACATTTTATCACATATTATATGTAATATTAATATTTCAGCTGAAAGACTAGATGAAAAAAGATTTGGATTAATATTTATTTTGCTCCATAAATTTGCATGGTGCTTTATTATGATTTGTATTAAAGTAGCAAGGGCTACCAATATATAACAAAGAGACAATTCTTGTCCTGAAGAGCTACAGGAATAAAAGTCACATGATCCATGCCCCCAGATTTTATAATCCAAACAGGAATTGATGATGATGGGAAAGGTGAGGGAAGCTAGAAATCTCACTTAATCAAGTTCTTGGCACACAAGGACCGGGGCACTCTGATAGCAACAGTGGCACTAGAAACTGTACAGGGGTAGCAAAATGAGGCCCTGACTCCTTTCATCTTCCTGCACTAGACAGTGGAGGTGGACTGGCACAGGGATAATGCACACTGCATCTTGTTAAAGGATTTACCAGATGCCCCTCCTCAACACTCCCAGAGGCATTGTATTTTCCTCAGGCACAACGCTTCTTGGAGCTGCTGTCCATGTGTATCTCCTTCTCAGCCTCTATGCAGGTTTCCCTTGTTTTGTTGTACTAACTAAGCAAAAGTATTACACTTTTTTTCTTTCAGTGCTAGTTGAATCACACTTTTTCTATAATTTGCAGATGAAGACTGTATTAGTCCAGGAGTTAAATACATTACAGAATCTCTTATTAAAAACCTGTCCAAACAGGAAAATTTGACATACGTAAAATCACTGAATCTTTCTCTTGCTAAGGATGGGGGCAAGAAATTTAAGGTGGGTTACTGCATGCAATTTCTTATTAACTATAATACACAATAGTATTAAAGTTCAATAATATTTTAAAACATTGGAAATAATGGTTAGGAAAACACTTTAAGTAGATGAGAAGAGCCAGTCTACCTCTCTGGGCCCAATTCTGCAACCGCTACTTATGAAAGTAAGAATTACAGAATCAAGCCTCATCATTGTACAAATTACCATTGATACCAATGAGAGTTTCACATGTGGAACAAAGCTAAAATATGGGTACATGTTTGTGTAATTTCTCAACTTCTGGGTAGTGGTGCCTCTTATGGATTTTTTTTATTTTATTTTAATTTTTTGTGTGGAAAGTAGTCCTTTCTGTAGATGAGGCTGGTGTGCTGCAGAGCTAGTAGCACCTGTAGTTTTCCACTCTTTTGCAGTGTGGAAAGTTGCAGGTGTGTTCAGCTGCAGGTGTGTCCCGATGCAAAATTTCAGAGCTCAGATTTGCAATTCTATGGTAAAGGGGATAATAATGATTTGTAGTAGCTTTTATGGAGACATGATTCTTAAAAACATAAACCTGCTGTTCTGAATGCAAATATAGGTACCATCTTGTATTAACAAACTACTACATATAATTTGTTTTTTAGTACATAGAAAAATTAGAAGAGTGCTCTAAACTAGAGGTATTAAATCTCAGTAACAATCAAATAGAGAAGATTGAGAAGTTGGATAAACAGTTAAAGCTACACGAACTCAATTTGTCCTACAATAAAATCAGGTAAGCGGACACTCTGTTTTTGGTGTGGGTGGAGAATGTTACTTATTTTTAAAAATTTAAGTTGTTCAGATTCTATGGTCAGGAGCGTGGTATAAAAGTTAGATATATTTAAAATATTTCATGCATTAATATTACAAAATGTTCTTGCTGTTTGTTATATGAGAATGGAAAAGATTCACCTTCAGAAAAGAGAACTGAAAGATTAAACTGAAAGGGCCTGCTCATGCAGTCAGTGCACTCATTAAACTCCTATTTTATTTGCCACAAAAGGGCAGCTTTCAGTGTTTTGGGAGGAAGTTACTCGATTGAAAAAATGCTGAGGGGACAGTGGATGGGATGAAAGAGCAACTTCTCCGTGCTCCCATTAGTTTTACCACTGATAAAGTAGGCTTAAAGAAAAGGAGTACTTGTGGCACCTTAGAGACTAACCAATTTATTTGAGCATGAGCTTTCGTGAGCTACAGCTCACTTCATCAGATGAATAAATAATAAATAAATAAATTGGTTAGTCTCTAAGGTGCCACAAGTACTCCTTTTCTTTTTGCGAATACAGACTAACACGGCTGTTCCTCTGAAACCTGTCATTATTTAAAGTAGGCTTATTAATTCTTTCTATAGGAGGTTTTCTTTGCAAGTGCAGTAACCACAATAGCAGTAAAGAGGTTAATAAAGGAAGTGTGCAGAAGACTGACTAAATAGTATTTCTACATGCTGCAGTGATGCAACTTCCTCTTTCAAGAGGGTTAGAAAATAAAATGAAATAATACCATACTAGTAAAGTGATATATACCTATAAGATTACTTTCCATTTTTGCTTGATTATAATATACATAGCTTAAATGACACCTTGGTTATGACTTGTTTTGTACTGTTACTATGTATTTGAAACATATATTGCAGAATTAAGGTTAATTACAAAAATGATTGTTTGGGCTATTGAGGCACTTCTCTATTGGTGGCCATTCCTAACGTATGGTAGCCAAAAGAATAGG